AATTTATGATCAATTTCTAATGTTAAAAATGATAATAATACAAAATTTCATTAGATTTAATTTTTAAATAGTTAAATTTGTGGATGAATTATTTATTATTATATATTTGAAATATTATTGTCTGAATAATATTTAGCTTTCACCACAGAACGAAGTAATATGAGCCAAAGTTAAGTTACATTGAACGAAGATAAAAACATACTTTTTTACCGTTCTACAGATTAAAATTACTTGAAGCTGAGTATAAAAATTTACTATCAAAATAAATAAAATCCCCCATTATATTATAATGTTCAATGTGAGTTAGTATTTAGTTATAAAAAAATTAAACAAAACATTGTTTTTTATTACATAAAATATAAATTGTGAGTAGATATCTTTTTGGGCGATTAATTACTATTTACTTTGCTTGCACAATGTAGCAAGCCTAAAGAAAGAATTTGTTTCATAAGAAATGAAATGTGAAGAGATTCTAGTACTAAAATTTTTACTATACACACAGGTTTGAAAAGTATTTGAAGACTGTTAAGTGTAAATTACTTAAATATCTGTTAATTTTATAAATTATCTATGGTATCAATTACTTTCACACATTAGTACATTATTTCCTTTTATTATTTGGAATGCTTTTTTTTTTTTTTTTTTTTCAAATTATGAAATCTTGTCGAATCGAAAAATTCGGATTTATACAGTAATTAAAAAACAATGTTTTGATCTTTATTTATAATTCAATAATAATATTCCTCTCAATACTTCACATTATAATTAAACAAAATATATATAAAAAATCATATATGAAGCTCGGATATTGTATTAATATTTTGCCTACACCGAGCAATCGAAATAGCATATTTAAGTGGAACATGCTGAATTTTTCATTATATGAGAGATTTAATCATTTATAATATATTTTACAGTAAAATTAATATTCAAAAAATATATTATATAAAAAATATTTATATAGTTATATGTTATTATATAATATTGTATGATATTGTATCTCGTAATGTATATTTAAGCATATAAGGCATAAATAATTTGTCAAACTAAAAAAAGTATGAAGCTTCTGACTATTAGAATGCAAAAATTAGTTCATTAATTTTATTTAAGAATAGTATTATTTTTAAAGCATACATTATTCTCAATAGAGACTAATTTCTTGAAGAAATTGAAGAATATTCTCCATAGAAGAATAGATAATTATTTGTATATTTTTTGTAAAACTTATATATTTGTAACAATGTATTTATAATATACAAAATATTGCTGCACATGTAATTTCATCCATAAATTTGTATATAGTTTTTAATTTATTTATAATTTACATAAACATATATTTATACCTATTATTATTATTATTATAAATATGTAATTATATAGTAATATTAATACTACTACTAATAATGCTAATAATAATAATAATAATAATAATAACAATAATAATAATAATAATAATAATAATAATAATAATGAAATGTAGTTGTACCGCTTATACTTATATGGACGGTACTATAACAAACGTATAATTAATAGTTTGTAATTTCTAATAATTAGACTTAAAAATATAATAAAAAATGAAACAGTAAATTTGAGAAATAATAAGTAAAATTGATCTGTTTCACTTAGTGTATGTATGCTTAGTATATAGTATTGTTTTGGCTTACAAATTAATGTTTTTATTTATTTTCTTTTAATTTAATGTTTTATTCTATTTTAGGTCCTTGAGGTTAAAGAGAAAGCGTCATAAAAATTGACATTAGAATTTTCTGATACTTTCGTTTATAGTCTTCTAAAGCATGTGCATATCATTATACTTTATAATCTTACGTTTCAACAGAACTGACAAGGCAAACAATATAAATAATGGAGCAAAAATATATTTGTTGATTTCTTATCTATTATAAATATGTTGGCAATTGAATAATAATTGTAACTTAAAAAAATAATCCTTAATTATAATTGTTTCAATTAGTGCAATGTATTTTAATTACTTATTCATTAGTTGTAATAATGTTAGGTAAATCATCGACTTCGTTTAAATGAAAGAGTTTAAACCATTGAATTTATTTTTAATTTTATACAAATACATTTTAAATTCAATTCTAAAATAATTTTTACGATCGGCTTTAAATAACTTAACGGTCATTTTCACTATATTTTTCAGCTTCGTATATGCGCGCACCTTTCAAAGGTTAATCAGAAGAGTGCTCGTCAAATTTAATTTTTGTATGTGAGTTTGTTTTATGGTAAAACGTTTATGGAGTTAAGTGATTCTCTTTTTTAATGAAATTACGTAAATTTAAAAAGACCTGCTAGGATTCGTATTAATATCTATTCATTTACAAGACAAGAATTTTTAAATATTCAAATGGCAGTCGCTATTTATTCAATATAATTTTAACTATATTATTCGGTTATGTCTTTATATAATGTATTTTAAAATACAATTCGTATGTATGTATATTATATATAATTTAAATATAAATTTAAATAAGAACATACTAATATTAATATTTTTAATAATAATAGTTTAGAGTCGTTGGATTACGAGGAAGTATATTATTATATTAGATCATTACATTGAATTGTCAAATTAAAATCAATTAATAATGCATCATACTTTTTAATTATTGTTTCAAATACTGAGTGTGAACAATGTTCCTTTATATTAAAAGAGAAAAGGAAAAGATATTATAAGAAAAAATTTAAGGGTTAGTTGTCATCTAATTGTTTCCAATAAAAAATCAAATTAGCTGATTTTATATTTTATTCGTTCCGAAGTTATTAAATAATTATTAAATAATAATTTCCAGACCGCCCATATTTGGCAATAAGTATTTCTAATGAAAAAAATTTACTTTCTATTTTACCATTCACTAGAAAATTAACAATAAAATGTTTATTGAGTTGATAGTGAGATACTCAAATAATGGGTGATATAATCTATAATGTTATTATCTCGTATGTTGCAGTTAAAAGTACAACTTTTTAAAATCTTAAATTTATGTAGAAAAGAAAGTTGAAAAATGGCACTACACTTTCAAAGACCGTTGTAAAAATAATGAAGAAAGAACGTGAGAATATATTGCTGAATGTCAATAGTTGAAAAAAGTTATTTTTAGAAAATATGTATGGTATTATGATCGTATACGTTATGAGTCACGACCATTTAGAATTAATAATTCCATTACTCGATTACCATTATTTTGGCATTTTCAGTAAAATAATATTAATAACGAGCAGCGATAAATAGTTTAATAGGAGCTTACTTTCAGAATTCTTTTATCATACTTTATCGAGCATGAAATTAATTAATTCTTTTGCTATTTTTTTCTGTAAATGCTTTACTCGATCACCATATATGCAATGGAAGATAAATACATATAATATGAAACGATCTATAGTATCCGATATTTGTTAAGAATCCGTTTTGTTAAGAATCCGTTTTGTTAAGAATCCATTTTGTTAAGAATCTAAAAGAGGTTGACGAAATCCTATAAAACCAGAATCGAAAATTCAATGCGCTGCAATTTATTTCCCGAACTATTATTGATGACAATTGCATTTTAAGCAACGTGAAAATAAAATAATTAGAGCAAATCTGTGTTGTTGTTTTTTTTTTTTTTATTCTTTTATTTTTTGTCACAAGTGTATAGTATCTCTTGTATAAAAAAATCTCTTTTAATGAAGATTGATACGTAGGGGAAAATTTATATGAAACTGTATGAATTATAGTGATATTTTCAAATTAAAAATCCCATTAAGAACACATTTAATTTAACCATAGGAAAAACTACAGTTTTAGGATACATTTAAAAATATGATAGTAATAATGTAGTAGAGTGATTCGTCAAGCTCCATCATAATATATTTTATAAACTTGGTCGTAAACGGAAGCAACACTAGGACCTTGTAACTTTATTAAATAATCATTAATTTTAAATGAAAAAATGTTTATACACGACATATTTTATTAAATTAGATTTTTTACATTATATATATTATTAATATTATTCTTATACATAGACACAATAAATTATTCTATATATTATTATTGTCGCAGTAAAAACTGCCACAATTAAGTTAGTAAGATATTTTAATCTGCATTTTTCATATTAATATTTCATTTTTATTATTTTATTTATCCGCCTATTATTATGTATAAATTGCCGTCTCGTGTTTATATTATAAATGAATTCGCCAGTAGTGAGAAATACTTTTATTATTTGTAAAAATATAATATATTACATTTAAAAAAGTTTAATGTTTTATGGACTGGGCCGAGAGTGTAGATTTTAAGGAGTTCCGTGAAAAGTGACGAACGAGAGGGAATAAGTAAAATGTAAATAGTTTTCAATTAGTACCAACATAGTTGTAAAAGAACTCGGCTACACGAGATAATAAGAACTAGAATAATGCTCGTAAGTTTAATATTTCCTAAAGAAGAACTGTATTTTGGACCAATATGCTAAGAATTCGTTATTCGTCAATTGTTTTAAATGCAAAATCTATTTATATACTACTTATGAGGTAATATACTTTGTATAGTGTCGTTAAACGTAATAATAAGTGAAAGATGTGTGGTTCCATCAAAAAGCATAATTGTGCCTACACATCCATAAAATGCTTAATCAATAAATCTATTTCATCCTCGAGCTCTTATTGTTATAACACAGATAAAAAAGAAATTTAGTATCTTAATTTAGTGGAAGCTTGTTTATTCCCAAAACAGTGTCCCTAATTCGATCGCCAATTCGATCCTCAATGCCAAATCGAAGCCAAGTCGAACCTAAATCTAACTGAAGGAGAAGGAACGGATAGTGTGCCTGTCTTGGGAGTGCCGACTAACGCTTTTCCCGAGCACGTACTTAAATCGGGGCTCAGTGCCGCGAGTGCGCGCGTCGAGAAAAGTCCTCCTGGATGAGCGAGCGAGCGATCGTGTGTGCGTGCTTTTGTAAGCGCGGGCGCGCGCGCGCGTGTGTGTCTGTACCGAGAGAGAGAGAGAGAGACAGAGAGAGAGAGAGAGAGAGAGAGAGAGAGAGAGAGAGTAATAGATCGTGGGAGGAAGGGAAAGACGGATAAGCCGAAGTAATTCTAAGCCGCTCGAGTATCCTCGGGTATCCGGGATTCCAACTTTCCATCTTCCGGCGGACTTTCACTCTACGGAGAAGGCGCATGGCGAGTCTTTACTGTGTCATCGCCGACGCTCTATGCTAATATGATACCCAGGAACGTTTGATTCACCCTCGACGCTAAGTAAGTTTTCGTGTTTCTTTCCATTCGAGTGCAGCGTGCGCGCTTTACTCTTATGCATTCGTCCCGCATTTTTTTCTTCTTCTTTTTCGGCCTTTTGTCGAGCGCTCGAACTCGCGCGAACTTAGTCTGCAGCGAATCGCACGAACCACCGTCAAGTCGACTGTGTTCAATTATACTTGCAGGATCAGTTTACAATCCTGTGAGTTTAGCTTCCAATAAATTAACGAAAGTACCGCGTGAGATTTAACTGTCCTTTAGTCGCGTCAGGTATCCAAGTCAAAGCTACGGTGTCTTTTGTCGGGAAACAATTGAAAAGTAAAGCACTACATTAACGAGTATGGGATAAACATGGAGTTTAATTAAAATAACAATGGGTTTGTGCGCTAAGTGAAACTAGAAACGCGCTGAATTAGATAGATATTAAACGGCCTATCGAATTGTATTGTTACGTGAAGTTTTGCCTATGTAAACGAAATTTGTGTTCGTGGAATCGGTAGAAAGTGAACAAATAAAGATTTTCTATGTAGTGCTACTCGACCGTTATCTCAAAAGAATTTCGAAATATATACGCCGAGGAGCGACGAAGAGGATTGCCAGGCCACTTTTTTATTCCACACGCGAGTTCAAAAGCCTTGTCAGATTAGGTTTGTAGTAATCTCTCCTTCGCAATTAATATTCAGCACTGTGAGTCGCGATAATGTAAATTGCCTCGATTGTATCTTATCTTCTGAATCTAAAATATTACCGTAGGCTAATTATTATTATTATTATTATTATTATTATTATTATTATTTTGAAATTGTCGTTGTGACTGCGAAAAGCTATATAGAAACTAACGAGACATCCTAGGGAAAAGTCTTAGGGCTTTGACAATAATACCGATAAAGCAGCGATCCTTCAATAATTAGCCATTTGAAAGCCAATTGCATTTAATACTTTTTGTTTTGTCTTTTCCTTGAATGGCGGTCAAGGAATGAACATTAAGGATTGCAAGATAGCCAAATGTAATTCCGTGCCGTTGGCCACCTTTAAACGAAATCGAGTCAAGGCACGTACGTCGAGTCGAACAAGAAGGAAAACATTCGAACTTTTGATTGCAGTGTTCAAGACACCGGGCGAGGACCTGAACCAACCGTGAGAGCAAAGCAAACAGTTGGCCAGGATGGATCTCGCTGAGTTTTTTGCCATTCTTTACGACTTCGCGCTATTCATGGTGATGGCTATCGTATACTTGGTCGAATCCTTGATCCTGATGTTCATACCGCGTCGCTACCGCAGTAAGGACCTGAGGGAGGAGATCGCCCTGGTGACAGGCGCCGCAGGCGGTATCGGACGACTCATCGCCATAAAACTCGCCAATCGTGGCTGTCAGGTCATCGTCTGGGACATCAACAAAATAGGTCAGTTGGCCGGTTCTTCGGCGTCCGAGGAACGAATTCGAATCGTCTCGCAGCTTTTGATTATCTTGTGCTTCGTGATATTCTATACCCGTGCCTAAAATTAACAATTATTATGATAAAAGACACGAGATTGCTATCGTGTACGAGACACTCGAATATTCGATCAATGGCTGTCACGTTTAGTAATAAAGGGACGGGATTTTGCAATCGATGCGTTCTAGAAACGGAGTTAAGTTATTTCTAGATTTCACAGTGTGAAGCACCGTTTAAAAATTGAAAACCATGTGGCATTTAGTGACAATCTAAACTAAATATAAGAAAATGATGCTCAATCGATTATTAACAAAGTTTTGAAAATCCTAAATACAAAGCCAATAAAGTTATTTGTGAATAAAAAATATACGAATTTATAATGCAACGAAGTTTGAAGATCTTACATTGATTTGAAGAAAATTTAATGTATTCATAAATTTAAATAATGGCACACGAATTTGAAATATAAATAAGTAAAGGATTTTATCGCAAATATACGAGTATAAATAAAATTTTGAATAAAATATTATGAGACATTTTTAATATATTATATTTATTTGGTGTTTATTTAAAGTATTGAGATAAAAATAAGATTTTCTTTTTAATACGAACTTCAAACGTATTAAAATAACATAGTTTTTATATTAAGAACGAAAAATGTTAATAGGTTTATTAATCAATGTGAATTAATGTAAAATTCATAGTCGTAGCATGATTAGCATTGAATGCTCATCAAAAACTTTATTAGTATCTGTCAATTATTTTGCATAGGATGCATATCAATGAGGTAAGGCGATGCTTTTATTGCTGTATATTCTTACATACGTAATGTGGTAGTAATAAGTTGTACACATGTTTGTGTGAAAAAATACGATGAATTTTAACATGTTCCTTCGAGTATATTTCAATCGAAATTCTAGTAAACTGTAGAGCACCAAATTAGAGCCTTGCGACATATCCTTTTGCCACATAAATAATTATTTGATGCTCGGCATTACTGTTTTTATTTCCAAATTTAGTTATGCATTACAGAATGTAAACTTGTAATGAGAAAAATCTGACACCCTTTGGAAAGTACAGTACCGCGTACTTGACAAATGAACGTTATTATAAAGTTCTTCGGGGAAAGTGCTTTCCAAGCAAGTTAATGTTCGTTGCACCGTGACTTCAAACTTGCAAATTAACCGTGCGAAAGTTAATTCCTTCTATTCTTTCTCATTTATTAATGTTACATTTTAACTAGTTTCTCATTTTGCACAAAAGCAATAAATTTCTTAATGTTATCAGTAATTTTTAATTCGATAATTCTAAAAATAATTAGACAGAAAATTTTGCTAACTATATATTTAAAAAAAATGAGTAATTTTAATGATTTTTTACATTTAATATATAATAGTTATAGGAGAAAAAGTAATTTATCGCGATTAATTATTTATCAATCGATCAATAAATAAATTATAAATATTTCAATTAATTAAACATAAATTATATGCCTATGACATTACAAATTTTAGTGCAATTGGAATAATTTTTTAATACATTTTTCTGTTTTAACAGAAATATATTCTAAACCATTTAGAGATTCTTACAAATTATTTTTTCAAAGTACTGCTAGATTTATTAATAATAAAACGTCTCAGACATTTTAGAATGAATCTGTCCAAGCTGTAACATAATGACGAATAGATAAACAACAATGAAAACTTAATAATAATGCAAAATAAAAGTAGAACTTTCTCTGCTTAGTTTTAAAAAGTAGTACAATAATGTATCTGCCGCAGGACTCGAAGAAACTGCAAAAATCATTCAAGATGCTGGCGGAAAATGTTGGGCCTACCATTGCGATATAACTGACAAAGACGAAGTATATAAAACAGCTAAGCTTGTCAAACTTGAAGTAGGCAATGTGAGTCAAGACTTTGCTAAATTTACAATTTGCTAAGTTTTCAAATTATATTACATTTACTTCTCGATGCACAACACTCAATGCTTAACTGTTGTAATTTATTTAATATTTCAAATATTTAATTTGATTTTACATATTAATACAATTGTTTTAAAAATTTTCATGCATATTCTATTAACATCGGCATTATTGACGAGGGAAATTTCTTTGCTTAACACTTATTTTATTAAAATATCAATACACTACAGTACAATTAGTATTAAATATATATTTGAAAAAAAAAAAACTTAAAACTATTACTTTAAATTATAAATTAAACTAAAAGAATATTCAAGAAGTATAAATGTTTCATCACATTTGATAAGTATCGGTGTTTTTTTTTTTTTTTTTTTTTTTAAACGTTTTAGGTATTATTATGCATGTTATATAACGTCTTATTATGTTATTTATATTTTAAGGTGACAATATTGGTTAATAATGCAGGATATGTCTATGGACGAACGTTATTAGACATTCCTGATGACGAAATTGAACGAACATTCAAAGTAAACATTATTTCGCATTATTGGGTAGGTATTTTAAAATGATGTAATATAATTAATTATAAGGAAAAATGTGGAAATAATATTCAAAGTAATAAAAGAGCATGAAAAAGTAGTCATAGCGAGTATAATAAATTTTTTAAATGAGAATTGACTGAAAGTAAATTTAATACGGAGGAATAATATTTTATAAAATTAAGTAATATTGTAAAAATTAATAAACTATATTGACAAAAATTATAATATGAGTCTTTTACCCAAAAAAAGTATCATTTTTTAATATTCAACTGTATTAATATATAAAAATGATTTAATACATAATTTTAATTAATTATTCTTATATGTTTTTAATTAGATAACAAAGTCATTCCTTCAAGAGATGATGAGAGAAAATCATGGACATATTGTTACGATTGCCAGTGTCGCGGGCCTTCTAGGAACATATAATTGTACAGACTATTCAGCAACAAAATTTGCATCCATTGGATATCACGAGAGTCTTTTCACTGAATTAAAAGTATAAGCAGTAATTTATTAGCTTTCAGGGCAATGCTTGATAAAATAAATTTTTAATCAATTGTTTTAATAAACATTTTCATTGTCATATAGGCTCATGGTTATGACGGTATTAATACGACATTAATTTGCCCGTACTTTATTGACACAGGAATGTTTAATGGAGTAAAACCAAGGTAAATGGGATTAAACGTATGAATATATAGAATATACAAAATTATTTGAAATTTATTCATTATACAAAAAATAAAGGACGAATAATCTATTCAATTATGATATCAAGTTTTAGTAACTAATTATTTATTTTATTATTTATTCTAAATTTTTACTTGTTCAGATTAAAATCAATGCTCCAACCGGAATATGTTGCAAGTGAAGTTGTAGCGGCAATTGCAACGAATGAAATTTTCGTAGTGTTGCCTGGAATCATCAAATACCTTTTGCCGTTGAAATTGTAATCCAACGATCAATATTTTTACAAATTAAAATAATATGACACATGTAAATCAACTATATAAGCTTTTTCATTCGCAGTTTATTACCGCCGAAACTCTGTTGGATTTTAATGTATCACATTCTTCAAGGCCCACAAACAATGATGATGTTAAAAAATCGAGAAGAAAAGATAAAATAGTAATTTATTAAACATACCCTTTTAGACTGCGAACTATATCATATTTGTATTATAAGATTCAAATTTTTACCTAATTATATTTATTTTATACCAATATAATATATCGTATTACAATTATTATAATGATATAATCCTATTTTCATGCTCGATTGATTAATACATAAATATTTTTATCAAATTTATTTGCTTAAATGTGTATAGTAAAATATATTAATTCATATTAAATTGAAGATGTATCTAAAGATATTAATTTAATTTAAACCACATAAAACAATAATTGACATAATAGTTTCAGAAAAAGGGAGACGTGTAATTTAGATGCAAAAATTAAAAACAAAAATTTAAATGAATACCTTATTATTTTTATATCATAATCCTTTACTCGCATTATATATTTTAGCATTTGCCGTTAATCGTTGCTTTATAATTTTTCAAATTATCAGATTATTTTTATAAACAGCATAATCGATTAAATGAATAATGCAACAATGATACGTCAATATCCTTGAATTTAATTTTGTGTTTCGTCTGAAGATTCTGAGCGACAGATAATCAAGGAATAGTATGCAATATATTAATATTTCTTCTCTATTGCTATCGCGTTTAATTAATACATATTTTTATAATTTTATATAATTTTTACTTATTATTAACTTGTTTAATGATTAAGCTTTAATATTCTAATATTTCTAATTAATTAATATTTATAAACGGTTATAAAAGAATGTAAGAATGAATATAAAATGAACGTGGATAAAATAAAAAATATTAAAATAATGTAACTTGTGTTTATGTGAATAAAGCAATATTCCGAAGTAATAAATATAGTAGAAAATTCACATAAACGTTTCAACGAATGAGACATTTATTACTCGATAAACACGCAATTCTTATACGTGGACCGTATCGCTTCACATTAAAGCCAAATTCGGACGTTTCGAAGATATATGTAAGGATGACTATAAAATAATAAGTGAAACACATTTGAATTTACGTTAAACTTAAAACTCAACATAAATTCCCATGTTAAATTAATAAACACCAATTGATAGGTGAAAAAAGTAAATTTATTGTTACATAAAATTTATCTACAATATGTACAATCACTTGTTTTCAGATTTTATAAAAAATATCAAAATTTAATAATGTAAGAATTAGATATAAACAAATTTTTAAAATTCAGAAAATCATTTGAGACAAACATGTACCATTAATAGAAGAGTTTATACGTATAATATCGTCAGTCAAGTGGTGTGACTTATATAAATAATTATTAATAAGAGGTGCATACTTTGTGTATATTTCTATTAACAATCAACGAAATTTTAAAAATAATCATATTAAATTAACAGTTAATAAATATAAAAGTAAACAAAAATAAATATTGATATTGTACTTACAATAGTTATCAATTAAACATAATATGAGAGATAACATCTATGCATCAATTTATATTATAGATGAAAATTGAATTATCAAGATGATTTTTTTTTATTTCAACTAATGCAATATATGCATTTCTTAACTAAAAGATAGTAATACAAATTGTTATATCACAAATTCTAAAATTTTATTAAATAATAGATGGACGTTTAAGTATATATAATAATTTTTATATATTATGTAAAGGTAGAATTTATTGTGTGGATCGTGCAAAAATATTTATTAGAGAGAAAGACGCATAAGTGTAGCGAAAATAATATATGGTTGTCCACATATTCTTTAGTAAGTGTGCTGTATAAGATATTTATATATGCACGATTATTTATTTATTTTATTTCTTCTTCTTCTTCTTCTTCTTATTATTATTATTATTATTATTATTATTATTATTATTATAATTATTGATTATGGATGCATCATGTACTTTGTGTTTCAAATTTGTATGTACTCTATTTTTATATCTATACTTGTATAAGTGAATAAAGTTTTTTTTTCATTTCACTTAATGTTTCGCTTAGATATGAAATACAAGTATCAATTATATTTTTTTTGGATTTTTCTTCTATTCACTCAAATATTTTGTTTTAAATTTCTCGCTTCGATACCGTCCATTTTGACGATAGTTTCTGACGTAGCATCATCGTCCTGACGCATTTGTACTTGATTTATACATTTATGGAAACTTATTAAATAATAAACATATGTCTTTGTTAGTATAGTGAAAAATTGTGCATTGATTATTACAATATACTAGTATAAATAGTTTACGAATGGTAGATAAAAGTTCCTCATTTGATGTTTAAATTTGTACACTAGTAAAATTACTATTACGGTGTAATCTCAATTAAATGCTAGATATATAAAATATCGTGATGATGTATGAAATCACAACATTAGTAATTATCTGATTTAATTATAATTTTTAAATTATAATAAATCAAAGAAGTATTTCAATCCTTGTCCAAGCTCCCAAACTGATATACCAATCTTCAATTCAGTGGCAAGATCTAATCTGGACATTATTGAATACAGAGTCGGAAAGAAAACATAGCCACCTTCATTGTGTCTGAAATGACGCAAGGAATATTTAATTTTATTTGCTTATAATTCTTTAGAGCTTGTATATATTTTAGGCTTAAATATGCAATTTTTCTTACTTGACTTCAAAGAAATGTTCGTTACTTTTATCATCCCACTGAATTTTTCCTTTGAAATTTTCAAGAAGCTTCAAATATTGTGAATTTATAATGGCACCACCTCCAGTAGAAGTGTAATGATAACCATAGAAATTCAAACCCATTAATATTTGAGCTCTTTTTATATCTTTAGAGTCTGGAACAAGATTTTCAACGCAAGTTTTTATCCAATCAATAGGAGCATTAGGGCCAGGATTTTGAACACTTGAATAATCATAAGTCATAAGGGAAAAATATCTTATGTGTGGTGCAAGTAAATCAAAAGCTTTTTTTGGAAAAAGTTCCTTATCCATTCTATAAAATAAAATGAATTTAGATATTATTTGTGAAATCAATGAGAATTAAAAAGCTTTTTCAATAATTTTAATATACCCTTTTTGAGGTGGAACAGCTAATATTATATCCAAGTCTTTTATTCTCAATCCATCTGCTATCGTATTAATTAAAGATATAATTAACTTCTTCTTTATGCCAGAAAATATAAACTGATTCCATATTTCTAAAACATATCCGTCAAACTGGTAAGCCTAAAATATTTTAAAAATTTGACTAATGACCTAGTTAATAATGACCCTGTTTTATTAAGAGAAAAACAAGGTATTTCAAACTTTAATTCTATATTTAATAAATATACATAAAAATACTATTCGTTTTGGTAACTATTCAAGGTTTTGATGACATTTAAATGGTAAAAAAATCAATAACTTTATTTGTGTTTGTTGAATTAGAGTCAAATATTAAATAATATATATTATTTACCTGGGCAAGATCACATAATGCTTTAATTAGTTTATCCCTCTTTTTAATATTACTGTAAAGCTCAATAATATCATCGCTAGACCATCCTTCAAAAAGAATTCTTGGTACAACTGCAAAATAACATTAAACACAATCAAATTAAGTGAAATCTAAATTAGAAATCATTTTAAGTATAGATATATTATTTTTAAAAGATGCTTTACTCTTAACCGTATGATTTTCATTATCTGCTGCTTTCATATCATGTAGCCATTGCTTTTGAATGTCATGCGTAGAGATTTTTAATAAATCTTGGCTCTTTATTGTAAACCAAACTGGAGAGACCATATCGAATTTTCCATGAAATTTATTTGCATTTTCATACCCCTCCGAATTCCACTATTTATTGAAAAATAATATTAAAAATTAATTTTTTTATATATTAAACAAATACTATTATTTGAAATATTTTATTAACGACTTTTTTCAATAATTACATTATTTACAATATTCTTTTATTAATATATTATACAATTTGATAAGATATTAATTTGTGATCCATTGGAATAATTTATATAAATCAATAATAAATGAAGGTAATAATATAAACTTAAATAATCAAGGTCAGAATCTTAACAAACAAGAAATAACAATTACCGGTGTAATGTATCCAAGAACATCGCCAGCTGTAAAACGTCTACTTTTTGTATCTTTACTGTGTAAACCAGCTTCGCGTAAAATATCTTTAACTTTAATGTCTCTTTTAACTAAAGATCTTTGATAAGCATCCTTATCAACAGGTCCAGACTAGAAAACAAAATTTTATTTTAAGTACAGAAGCAACCTAAATCTTCCTACAATCTAACCTACAATTGAAAGAAGTTTACTATATGACATTAATTCTGAATAGCATGAGATTAAATAATATTTAAGTAGTTTTTAAAATGTTATGATATCGTGATCTTTTATAAATTCACCTTTTTAACTTTTTCCTGCTTTTTAGATTTTTTTCCTTGTTCAGGTGCCAAAGTTCCATTGCTGACACTAACAATCAGGAATAACGTACTTACTAAAAAGAAAATATTCATATTTTTGCTTTTAATATTATTCAATATATAAACTTTTTACAAACTTCTATTTTAATGATTATTGTTTATCTTTGCCATTCGTCAAGCTAATACTAATATTCGGCAGTCATACGCCTGCGCATTTTCTGATAATTTTTAGAAAGAAAAATATTTGTGAAAAATAAACTAATAATCATAATTCGTCCTTAAAAATTTATATATTAATAAATTAATTCGATATTTAGTCATCAGACTTTACATATTCATAAAAGGTTAAAAGTGATTATATCTTGAGATATTAAAATAAAAGGTCTTTGCAATTTGATTCTAAATAACAATTGATAAATTTGAATAATTTTTTCCTGACATTCATCGTTGTGTCAAGTAGTACATTATCATTGCATGACATATACACATCGCATTGAATAATTTATTGAATAATGTCAATGATGTATTAAAAATTTCCAACAAAAATGATATTGCATCTACGGATTACTGGTAAACAATGTTGCCACGTAAAAATTATAATTAAAATATTCTATAATTTAAAGAATGTTGATGTATAAGGATACTCTGCTTATTTTAGGTTCATTTAAAACAAAAATTGTATAAATCAATCATTTATAGCAATAATTTATTTTATCAAAAATGGGAATAATTTCAGGACTACAATTAAATAGGTTTGCATAAATTATTTCTATTGTTTTCTTTATTATTTTTATTATTATTAATTAAACGATAAATTTACACTAAGATAACTTCTGATACTATGATAAAAAAATGTACATTCAATATATTAATTATTTTAGGATGAAATAATTAATCTTCAAAAAATAATAGCAAACAATTGATTACGCTAAGAGATTATTTATTGTACAAAATAATCGAATAAAATTATTAAAATAGATACCTTATAAAAAGAGCAAAGCACTTTAGTTTTTGAAAAATTCAATTTTGTTGCTTAAAGCGTATCTTAATCTTTGAATATAATCGACGGTTATTTGTAACAAAAAACAGAATGTTTAATATTAATTATTAACTGAAACTGACAAATATCTTTCGAGTCAGAAGTACCGATACTTCAAACTTTTATTAGTTTATTCTCTAAATTAAATTTTAGTTTCTATCAGATTTACAAAATTGAATTTTCTAGATAATTATACATTAATTTTTAATTGTAATTTAGGTTTCTGAGTAATTGAAAAAAATTTAATAATAATGATAATAATAATAATAATAATAACAATAATAATAATAATAATAATAATAATAATAATAATAATAATAATAATAATAATAATAATAATGATAATGATAATAATAGTTTCGAATACTTTTAAAATGCTTAAAAATGAATATTTTAAATATATTGCATTTGGAGAATTGCACCTAAAAAGCTCAATTATAAAACATAATTAAATTAAAAAATCCAAATGGTTTAATAAATCGATTGATTTTATATTTTAAGCCCTTCTTACGCCAAAAAATATATTTCTCTGATTCAGTAAAAATAATAAAAGTTATATAACTATGTATAAAAAGCGTATTTCACATATCGAAATTTCAATAATATTAGTATTGATAGATTAGCGATAAAATCAAAAGGAACAGAAGACGCGTAACTTTCGCTAAAACTATTACATGAATATGCCTTAAGAATACGAGGACATCACGTCTGCCTGTGTGAATGCATATTCGAGGCAGGAGGTCTGTGAATACTTTTCAAATAATTACATGAATTTTTATTGTAATCCGTTGGTGATGGACGTTTCACTCAGATATACTATCGCATTGTATTAGAATGGCTCGAATGAATGATTGTTATTTATTCAATTACATTAGAAATTTATTCTACAATTCTCTTCAATAGATATCCAACTTATTTCATAGAATAATTTACTGAAAAATTATTCAACGAATATCATGTGTCTGTTTGCAATTAATTTCAATTCAAAATACGATTTTCTCTTTAATCATAATAATAAAAATATATAATAAAAACAAAAATTGATTTCAATATTCCATTGTTATTAAAATTAATTGTTTCAATCCAAGTGGTTTATATGTACCATTAAAAACTACGTGAACACATAATATTTATAATTGTTTATTCTATGACGGCTATTTAAAAAATTGGAATATTAATTATAGGGCAATAGGTCTGGTTTATTCGTAGGCTTTTAAATAAATTCGAGTAAATCAACTTTAATCTAATGCTATAAAAATTCCCATTATATTATTTATATATCGATATATTTTATTCTTAAATATTAATGTAATGTTAAGGATGTAATTTCATAAAATATGATCTTTAAAATAAAAGTTAGAAATATACCCATTAATTAGTCGTATTAATATCACTTGAAAATATTTGGTTCATATATGGATATTTTATAAATACTAATTATAATAAATAGTATTATTTTTATTGTCCGATAAATAATTGTCCGAGCCATTAATTGTAGTTATTTTTTCTTTAATATTTACAATGAATTTTAACCGAAAGTTTTTATGATTCTATAGTCAACTTAATCTTAATATTTAATATAAATTTAAATATGCAATTAATGTTTTCAAGGTATCATTTTAAATTTTGGCTAAACATAATATTCGGCATATGCTTTTAAGATGTTTAGAAATAAGATATTATATTCCCTTATAAATGTGATGCCAAATTCATGGAAATTTAATTACTACAATAATAGTATTTTTCTAGTGAACTTTCGTTGGCAATTAAATAATTTCTTATTCAATTCAGAATAGAATATTGATTGCTTATATTCTATCATAATACTGAAATTTAAAGTAAATTAATTATGATTTGAACATATTTTATTCAATGCTTTTGTATTTAAATTTAATATTCGTTAAAATTAATAGCATATGAATAGTATATTAGTAGTGTATCAATAGTCATATACGTATATATAAAGAGTAAAATAATTACGGAATTCTAAATCATTGTAAAATTAAAAAAATATATATATAATTAATGCTTTAAATAGTTATAATATAATGGTCAAATAAATGTAATAATAATTATTTATTATACAATTTATACATGATTTGAGGATAAAAATGTGACCACATAATATTTTAATAATTTAATCGTATTAAAGTACGAATATATATAATTTTTGCTCGAATAAAATTTTTATATATTATTAATGTATATTAATATTCTCATAATATATTCATAAACGTTACTCTTACAAAATATCAGTGAAAAATTGAATGAACAGATTTCGAAAATTAATAAGTAATTTTTCCAAGTTAATATATTAAATATTTTTATTATTCCAAAAAATCTTTTAGCGGCATAATATAATCTATAATACTTGACGATATATAATATCTATATTAAATATGTAAATTGTCTTTACATGATAAACATAATTGAAATTATAAGTGATTAATTGTAGCGCATTTATTATTTTGGTTTATCATATGAACATTAACTATAGTTTATATTATATTCTCTACATTTTTTGTTGAATAATGCATTTAATACATTTAAATTAAAATGAACTTTTTATAAATCAATAGAATTTTATTGCTATTAACGTTTATAATTACACATAATATACATTTATTTCATTCAAATATTTATTTCTTTAAATTTCATATATTTATTTATAAACTACATAAATATTTATTCTTTTAAGAATTTGAGTTTTATATTTATATATCTTTCTAAATAATCCATAAATATTAAAAAAATATATATTATTGAAATGAAAATAAATCTTAAATATATTAAAACCAAGAAAGGAATTTTTTTGTAATTTTTTTTTTTGTTTTTTATAATTTTGAAAGAAGTTTTCAGATGGATAATTTTTCAAATAAAGAAATAATTTTTGCTTAGAATACAATTTTAAATTATTCCATTTTTAAATATTTTTAAATAAGTTTTATAAAAAATTTATATTTTATTCGTTATTGTTACTATTGCTATTGATACTATTAATAATTTATTATTGCTATTATTTAGGATTATGACATATTTTTAATAATACATTTTATATTATAAAATCATTGTGTTTCTTAATTTGTAATGATGAAATGTAATTGAGATGATAAAACTTAATTATTTGAGTTAAATTCTCAGTAGTGATGTATTCTTATTTTACGTAATATAAAAATAAATAAAATGTGATTTCAAATATAAAATTAAGTAAATAATTGTTTTAAGTAATCAATCGTTGAAATGAAAATCCTGTTAATCCTTTTGTTTACGATCGAGTCATAGTACTTAAAAATTGAATTTTAAAACTTTGCTACCTTTAAGTTCATAACTATTCACTATTCTATGTTATATATTGTATTTAATTGTAATTTAAATTTAATATTGACAACATTATTATTTTAATATGTTTCTTTAAGATTACATTTTCATTTTCGTCGAGGTGTCGTAAGTTGAAAAATGAATAAGTATGCTGTTTACCAAAGTTGGATTATTTGTATTATCCGTTTGTAGATTAAGCAAAGGTAAAAACGGATTAATACGTGGTTTTTGCGTTAAGATGGACAATAGTTAACAATAAAAGTTGGTTGGGCTTGTTATTTAGAAATCGACTTATCAGTCGGACAAAGTTAGATAATTCATCATTGGGAATAGTTTTTGTAGAGAAACTTATCGAAAATGCGTATAAGGAGACGATTACATCTCGCCCGATTGCGTCTACCAAGATTGTAAATGCGTTCACATAAGCCATCGTGACGTCGACGCTGGAGGTATAAATTTCCGGACTTGTTTGGCGGGCCGTGGAGAGGGAGGAAAATCGTCCCGCATCCATCAACCACTGAGCTTTCGTAAAGGTAAATTTTTGCGACTTTTATGGTAGAAAGATGGCCCGCGAGCTGGGACGGCACAGCCTCGCTAATCCTCGTCCCCGTCGCGTAAAAGACTTGTTTATCGGTGGGGGACGACGGTTTGAAAGTGCGAGCCCGCGTGTGAAAAGGCTCCTCTCCGCCACGAACTTTCCTTCTCGTACGTGCGCGCACTTCCGATCGCACCTTCGACGTCGCTCGATAATTCCGCAGACGTTTTCTCAACGAGCAGTTGTACGCGGCTGCGATATCGGCACGCCATGTCGCGCTCCTTGTTACTCGTCCTTGTCGTCCTGTGCGCTCAGAGTCTCGGTGAGAGACTCTTTTTTCATTTGATTTTTTTTTTATTGGTGTTTAATATAACTTGTCGTTCAAGTGCATATGCGCGCGCGCGCGCGCGTGTGTGTGTGTGCGCGTGTGTGTGCAATTAACGGACTGCAAGAGACTTCAGAAAGCTTAATGTTATGAGGAAGGCTTGTTGATTATCAATTTATCTATATTATCAATCGCTTGTAGCCCCCTTGATTCAAGAAATACGAATTAAACGACTAATACTTCATAGTATTTCTTGATAAAATCTCATTTATTGCTTTATAAATCTATATGTTTATATTTGAATTTTTTTTTTTTTAATTATTTTTTATATTCAATTATGTATAATTTAATTATAAATATAATCGGCAGATTGTTCTCAACTTCATTTTTTAATTGCTGTTATATATATATATCATACAATAATTAATGTATAGTCAATAAATATATAGATAATAATAGTTATTATTTGATAATCAATTAATATATGGACATTAATTTAAAACGTTGTTTGTTGAATTTGGTATAAATTTGATATGTAAAAATATTTAATAGCTGTGTTTAGGAAGTCACGACTATAACACGAATTAAATTTTATTTAACAAGTATATTCATACTTTATAAGTGGAATAAGCACAGTTTTAAAGTTACGATAAAATTACACGAGAGTGCATTTTCATTTCAATAATAATAAAAATAATTAAGACAATATAGCAAATAAAATTATTCAAAGAATGATTTGCTAATAAAATAAATGTTTCTCACGGAAACGATGGAAATATATAATAATGTAGCATAATATAAAAAAGCCATATCAATTCTAAAATAATATACATAGAGTATAAAGAACAAGTAAATATATTTAAAAAATTATTTCTTTTTCTTATAAAAATATTAAAATTGTTATCTTTGAATGCATTACGAAAAAGTTTCCCTTCGGCATTTAAGAGTTTGCAATTACGTTTTGAACATTCCCAATTCGTACTTTGTTTTACAACAGTTTTTTTACTCAAATACCATAATGACAAAATATTTTAGGAATTTATAATATAGAGATGAAATCTTTTTAAATGAGACGGAGTATGCTTACTTGTCAATATTAAAATTTCGAACGAATATTTTCATTAATTTCAATTAATTATTAATACATATTTAGTAATAGAACTACCATAAAATCCTTTATATATATATTTATATATATAAATAGATTTATATATATATATATCTATATAATATATATATATATATATATATATTTATTATTATATATATATATATATAATAAATAAATATATATAATATAAATTATATATATAATATAAATAAATTTAGATATATATATATATATATATATATATATATATATAAAACAATTATATACAAGTAAGTTACAAATTAGTAAACGCTATTATAGACTATAAAAGATATTATAGAATATAAAGGTGACATATTCTAAAAAAATTAATACATACAAACATATTTTTTTTTTTTACAGATATTTCATAATATTTGAATTAATTTTAATAATATGTAATATTTTTAATTATTATTATACAATTACTATACAATTATAATTATTTATAGTGTAATATTTATAGCAATATAAATATGATAAATAATTTAAAAATTTTTAAATTAATTTTTGATATCTTATCAGTAGTGGTAGCATTCAATTAATATTAATTACATAATTTAATAATAGTATCGAAATAAATTATAAAAAGAATTAATTTATATTTAAACTAGTTATTATTATATTATATTGACAAAAATGCATTTTTCAAGTAAATATATTATTAATGCCTGTTCATAAATTATCGAGTGTTATTTAGGTTCGATTACTAAAGAATCTATAATATACAGTTATATTTTTTAAATATTTTAGCATATTAAATTCGTATTTTCATTTTCATTTTCATTTCGTATAATCCAATGAAATTAAAGAGCTTTTAATTTTATTTTTTTCATTTTATATATACACATTGTATGCACTGTATGTGGATAAAATTTTCATTTGTTTAATGGATAGTAATAATAACAACGTCAAATAAAATTATTAAACTAATGTATGATTTGAAATTGCAATGTATGCCTTTAGATTATCATTGTCCTTTATATTTAAAAACACTCAAAACAATGTTCAAGAACTCGTGAAATTTAAAGTTTTGATTAATCTTTTCAAAATAAGTTTAACAAGCCTTGACCCACTGAGCAAGTTCGAGGTCAATGCTTCGCAGATAGAAAGTAGACAAGTCTTGTTTTCAAATGAGAATTATTCTTTTTTTCTTTTTTTTTTTGTAATGATGCATAAAAAATAAAATAGGTATAATCTATGGATCATATTCAAGAAGTGTAAAATTGGCTGAAACGCTTGTAAAAACAAAATGAAAGTATTTTTAACTCTGAAAATTATATTGAAATCACAGAATAAATGAAATGATAAAAAGTGAGTTATTTATTTTTATTTATTTATTTTAAATTAAATATTTATCGTTCAATAATTATGTTATTCTTTATATATAAAATTTTTAATTTTCATTTAGTAATCTAAATGTATAAAATTTCTCATTTATTCCTTTACAGATGCATAATTGTTATTGGAATAATAGTTTTAAGTTTTTAAAATAATGTTCAATTTATTCTTCAAAAGTGCAGTACAATGAAAAAAAAAAGAAGAATGTTTTCAAACTAAAAAAGAAATTTTATTTTTGACTCAAGTATTTACAACGCGTGATTTCTCAATGTCTACTTTGATTATTATTAAATCCTTTCGAGAGATCTATAAAGTCATAAATTTCTCACGAAAGTATTTTTCATTAGTTGTTGCATCGGCCGATACGTCAGAATTAGCAATGGGACACAAACTCGTTCGATGCAATTACCGGAAGTGAAATTTTCTTCTCGTTGGCCTCGCGCTACCAGAAAAGTTGTATAAAAAGTTGCATGTGGATAACGCCTGTATAAATAAGAGTACGTTATATATAAATTAAGGAAGAGAATTATTATTATTACTACGTTGCCGGTATAAAGTTAGAGTTGTAGTTAAATAATTTTTATTCATTATTCAGCATATTTTCCATTAATTTTATTCGTATTAGAAAAGCAGTTATCAAAAAGAATTTAGAAAATCTTGCTTTGTTCTCTTACTACTTAATAAATATTTTTTTCCTACCAAAATTATCTTTTCATAATACTTTCTTCCGTGTAATATTATAACGTCCCTTCTCAAAGCTTATAATTTATACGAACGATAATAGCTTATCGAGTAATGTAAACTGTAAATTATGTTTATTCAAGATTTAAATTAAATAAATAAAGTGAGATTAAATTATTATGTACACGGATAATTCATATTATTTTATTAATACATGGATTATTAATACAAGCATAAATAATGAAAATATAATATTTTAAAGATGCAGATATACAGGGTCCTTTTACATGTAATGCTTTTCTTTAAAAATATTATCTAATTAGGTTTCAAAGTTTCATTTCATTATTCTGAAGGTGTTTAATGAATTTTTGAAGCCCATCTGTTAAAATAATTATTGTATCTATTTATTATCACCTGATGAGCGAATTAAAATAGCTATGCTGTGTATGACGTGTTTTGATTGTCAATTTTCAATTGTATTCATTAATTTCTTTTTTTCTAGTTGAAATTAAGTATTGATTAATTTTTAGTGTAATTTCTGTTGCTTAGTTAAATAATACTCATTATTTATTATTAAAATAAACAAAAAAAAAAAAAAAAAAAAAGATACATTCAACACTTGAATATACTAATAATTCTACTTCACATGATATTACATAATGAAAGAAATATAATCGCAGAAAGATTATTAATATTATGTCACAATTAATAAAGAAGTAACCAACCAACATTTTGTATTCTGATGATCTATATAGATTTTAATTAGTTATTCATTTACATAATATCACGCATGATATAATTAAAGGAATGTTGTGCAAACACAAGAACTTATGAAATTCATTAATTACAAATAAATAAGTCAAACACAAATAATTTTATATACTTTAAATTAAATATTTTTTTTTTTTTTTAATAATAAAATTATAAATAAATACATTTATTTGAGATTGTGTATTAAAATTTTATTTTATTTTTTTAAGAAAAACAAAAAGAATTACTGTGAATCTATAATATTATTCCTGAGTACTTGAGAAAGGAGATTTGACGTTAGATTAAAAAATAATCATTTTATTACTTTTTTATTCAATGGTATGCATAGATAATATTTATTGATAAATAATATAGAATAAAACTATACTACAACATAAATGTACAAAACATAGTTGATTAATTTTTGTTAATTTATAATTTGAATTTTATAAATTTTGTTACAATTCCATATTTAAATAAATTTAATATTTGTATGGTTGAAAAGTTTTAGAAAAGAAATTATTCGTGTAGAAAAATGAATAAAATTTAAGGTATAATCTTGCGTTCATATTTATTTTAAAAATATGATAGATTTAGTTAATTGATACGAATGAAATAAACATTGTATTATATTAAATTTTCAAAAATGTTGATCTTATATAATGATAATTTACTATTCTAATTATTAATTCAACAATCCTGCTTCTATTGAATTTGTAAATAATTCAATAAATGTTTGTGACGTATAGGTTAAATATTTAATAACTAACATTTAAAGCCTCAACATAATTTACACTGAAATTGAAATTCATTTGTTTAAACTTAATGCAAAATCGAAGCTATATTACTGGGAAAATATGTTTTTGGATAATCTTACAACATTAAGTAACCGATATCTCTGTATCTGTATATTTATAGATGAAATATTACATGGAATGATTGATTATTTAATTTTATAAGAGATGGAAATTTATTGCATAAGTTGTCGACTTTTACTTACTATAAGTAAATGGATAAGAATATATATCATCAATAATTCAACAAATTTTTAACAATAATTTATTACTATTAAAATATTTAGCCTTCATAGAGTTACCGATTTATAATAATAAATTATTAATTGCTTTTATGCACAAGTCGTGAATTTTTCAATAATAAATATAACAAATATGAATATATATATATATATATATATATATATATATACAAAATTTCTACGAGTTATTTTTATTTATTGGAATATTTCAACTAAAATCATCTTTAATTTTTAATTCATATATTATTCATGAGAATCCTAATTAAATTGTCCCTATTGATAATTTATTTGAATTTATACTCTGATTGCTCTTCCTTAATTATTCCTTAACCCTTGTTTGTCTCTGTTTATTAATCTCACGCCACTCCTTAAAATAATGCTATTTGATTGGTTGGTCATTATTTATTATTATTCATTTGCCATTTTGTAAATGTAACTTTATTTTAAAAATTAAATTATTTTTTTATCGTATTTCATTTGTTACTATTAAAGAAACAAGAAATTTTAAAAAAATTTTTTTTTTTTTTTTTTTTTTTTTTTTTATAAAAGCATGCAATTTTGTGCATTACAAAATAAAATAACAAAATATTTAATGAATAATCATCGATTCAAAGAGTAATGTTATTCGAAATATTTTTGAATAGATGCTCATGCAGCAATCTGCTCCATTAACAATGTCTAGGTTAAAATAATCGATAATTTATGGTTTTTATATACAAACATGCCATTGATTGTCTAACGGCCTTCCCAATAAGGAATGAGTAATGTAATAATGAGTGACTGTATTTCAGCAAGTAAGGTCAGTTCAAAGGAATTGACGGACCAGCCGCCATGTCTCGATGACAACAAATTCTATAGGAATCCGAAAATGCAGCCTCACGTCCTATGGTCACCAGGGGAATGCGCAAAGTATTACCTTTGCCTCGGTAAGTGATTGCGCATTAATACATACCAATACTCATTGGAGCAACTACTTTCAGCCTAAAAATGATTTAATTAGTAGATTCTATAGATTGGGTACTCGAGCACATATGATTTTATAATCTTTATTATGTTTGTTTTTTTTCTTTCGTTCATTAAGTGATTTTTAAATTCAACTATAAAATCATTGCAAGTCTTTAAAAAGAAGTATAATTAATATGAGTAAAAAAAATGTATGGAGAGCATTGTGGGAAAGCATTTGTTTTTATATAACACGCATGATATGTAATTTAATTTTATTGTTTTACTCTGGCGTAATAATAACTTCCCAACATTAACTATATAAAGAGTCGGAAATTTCTATTATAATCTTCTATTATTACTTCCGACATCATTATTACTGTTTTAATTTATGATCTTAGATTTATAGGTATTCATATTCAATTTTAATTAGAAATTAAATTATCATAATGGAATATTTAGAACTAAACATTAAAAATGTACTGATTGTAATCTACGCTACTGTATTTTCTACAATCTAGAAATCAATTGTGATTCACATTGTAATTAGAAAAGTCGTTGAAACATAATTAAACAATTGTGTAATGTACATTTTTTAATTATCCTGATTTAAATATATTTTATATATATATATATATATATATATATATATATATGATCTGTTTTGCATTATGTTAAGCGAGTAATAAAATCTTTTACATTAATTCATTAAAGACTAGTTCTTTTATGATATAATTTTGTTACAAAACAAATGAAACATAATAACGCAACGACTTGAGAACAATTATACCTACAATTCTGTTTGAACAAAAAGTTTAATAAATAAAAATATTTAATAATTGTTTTAAAAATAATATAACTATTTTAGAATAAATTATAACTTCTATAAAGTATTTGTTAATCAAAAGAGCACTGTTTTATTTGTGTAAAGATAATAATAGCTCATACAAAATATTTCTAAATTTTTAAACTTCAATAATTTGATATTCAATTATTTTTCTTATTTTAATTAAATCTTATTTCCATTAAAAGACTCGTTCGATACTTTGTCAAAATGTTCTTTAGATATGTATGTGCCACATTTATAGTGTAATGCAAATGAATTAGAAATTTTAATAATTATTTGTCTGTAAAATGGACGTCGTTAATAAAATTATTATATTAATATAATGATTGAAAAGAAAAGTAAAATGATATTTTTTTCGAAAGATGACCTATTAAATATAATCATAAATATCACATCTTCGGTTCTAGAATATTGAGAAAGTCTTTGAAAAATGCAAGACATTCGGTAGATTTAGAGTGGTTATACAACTTCTAAGAGGCAATTTTCTCACATACACATATATATATATATATACTTGTACTTGCGAAACGACAATTTTTATTTATATTGATACAAAACTACTAAAGTATTTCTTGTAACGAATGCCATTAGTTTAAATCCAATTTCGTAGTTGCTCGATATTAATTATAAATATTTTAGTTTTTAATGATTTCATATTATCCATTTTTTAATTACATTTCTTCGAATTTATGTAAGTTGTCAAGCATTAAGAGTGATTGTATTCTTTTTCTATTCATAAAATAAGTAGTATTGATCATTAAGGAGTATGTGATTTATAAGCATTATTTAATAAATAAATGCTGTAAAGTATTAATGAAAACGGTATAATTTATATAATGAAAGTAGATATCGTTAAATATCTTTTCAACTGGACTTATTATTAAAAAGAAATTTTGTCGAAACATAGTTAAAATAATGAAAGATATCACTCTATTTAACAGAGTATTTATCTTATATCCCAAATAAAGAAAAACATCATTGTACAATATACGTATTACTTTATTTTAAATTTAATCCTTAAAATCAATACAAAATAATCTTAAAAAGATAAAATAATTCGATAGCATGATAATAGTCCATCCTTTTTTTCGTCCTGCAGATGACGAGGTTTTTGAATTCAAATGCTCCAACGGCCTACTCTTCGACGTCATCAGGCAAATTTGCGATTTTAAGGCCAACGTTGACAATTGTGACATAATTATTGGTAAGCATGTATTATTAATTATAAACTGCCAAAGTCATTATCGCCAATTTGTTTAAAGTTTGAGATACTTATTTCAGAGGCGGAGCCATCGAAACCTTTGCTTGAAAATGGAAATTGTAAGGAAGGAAGTTTAGCCTGCAGCGATGGCAATTGCCTTTCCTCGCATTATTTCTGTGACGGAAATGCTGATTGTTCAGATAGCTCCGATGAGGCATGGTGTGGTAACGTTTCATATTTATACAATATTTTGTTTTACTTTTCCTAATTCAAAGTTTATCCTTTATGTGTTTATTTGTTCATTAGTAGAATTATCATAGTCTTCGTGAACATGCTCTCTTATACTATTCATAGTTTAAACAAGAATCACTTCTAGACAGAAAACTTCTAAAACGTCACAATAAACAATTGATTATTAAAATATTAGAGACGATATGACAATACTTTATAACATAATTTTTCAAGAGCGATTTTGCACATATGTAATTTGCTTTTCATGCTAATTTTCTGATTCAATCTTATGATTTAAAGCATTGATTTTTTATTTACTATTTTGCAATTAAGATATTCGGGAAAAAGAATGTTTAAACCGATATGATCGGTTATCGATAATATCCAAAATGCTTTTAAATTAGTTATATTCAAATAAGAAGATAATTAATCCGACATGTATTATAAACTTCTTATTTATTCGATGAATTTGCTACCATTATTTCTTCTTACTAGCAAACATTAAAATAAAAATATCATTGAAGTTTGGAAAAAAATTTTCTGCAAGTTTTTATAAATAAATCATTGAATTGATTTGTTAAAGATTCGCAAAATGATGTAAACGCTGCGTTACCCTGCGACAAGAATCAGTGCCAACTTCCACAATGTTGGTGTTCTACCGATGGCACCGAAATTCCAGGAAATCTTTCTTCTCCTGTAATACCTCAGATGATAATGGTGACGTTCGAAGATGCCATCAATTCTGAAAATTTTGAATTATTTACCAGTAAATAAATAATATGCAATTGTTATATTAACACTCTGACATTTGATCGTTCATATTAATTTTCTAAATATTATCCAAAGTATATTAACAAAGCATGTGATATTACTCTAACTTGTTTTCAACTTTAATATCTAAGTTAGATTTTATCGTTGGGTAAATTTATCAAATTTAATTGTTTTATAGGATACTTTTCAGATTATAAAACTAAATTCGATAATTTCAAATTTTAATGTAACACCAATTCTTTTAGAATTATTTAACGAGGAAAGGAAAAATCCAAATGGTTGTCCTATTCGAGCAACTTTTTTTGTTAGTCATGAGCATACGAATTACAGAGACGTCCAGCATCTTTGGAATCTTGGTCATGAAATTGCGATACATTCTGTAACGTAAGCTAATTGATTTCAGTTTGTAGATAAATTGTTACATTGACATAATATTTTTAGTCATCGAGAACCTCAAGATTGGTGGATGCAAAATGCAACAATCGAGGATTGGTTTGATGAAATGGTTGGTGAAGCAAATATTATTAACCGATTTGCCGGAATCAGAATGCAAGATATTAAAGGTATATTGTTTAGATAAGTAAATAACATATAATAATTGCAATAAAATGCATAATATGTATAGGTATGAGAGTTCCCTTTCTTGGCATTGGTTGGAATCGTCAGTTCCTTATGATGTCAGAGTTTGGCTTTGTATATGATTCCAGTATTATAGCTCCGGTATCAAATCCTCCAATTTGGCCATATACTCTTGATTATAAGGCTCCTCATGGTTGTACAGCAACTGGTCAAATGTGTCCTACGAGATCCTATCAAGGAGTCTGGGAAATTCCTATTAATCCACTTCTTGTATCGGTAAATTCAATCTATTTTAATTACATATATATATATATATATATATATACACACAAATTTGTAAAAAGTTATAACAAATAAAAAATAATTAATACTATTCGTTCTTTTTCCAACAAAAAAATTTTAAAAGGATCAAAATTGCCAAACATTAGAAACTTGTCCATTAAATCTTACTGATGAAGAAATTCATGGAGCGTTAATGAATAACTTTAAAGTGCATTATTCGAGTAACAGAGCTCCATTGGGATTACATTTCCAATCCTCGTGGATTAAAACCCCTTCTAATTTCCTAGCACTCTCTGTAAGTTCTTGTTTATCAAATTATTGAACAAAAATTATGCAATTACGCATTAGTAAATATATGTATACACGCATAAATATTAAAATTACTACTTAACAGAAACTTCATGCTTTTTTAACAATATTTATAAAATTATTTTCCAGAAATTCATTGATGACGTTCTTCGTTTAACAGATGTGTACCTCATTTCAAATCAGGATGTACTTGAATGGATGAGAAATCCAACATCTCTCGATACTCTTCGTTCATTTAAACCTTGGCATTGTTTTAATAAGAAACTTGATTCTCATGAAATAGCATGTGACTTACCAAATACATGTAAATTACCAAGCAAAATACTTAAAACGCATAGGTATTTGGAAACTTGTTTTGATTGTCCAAAGCAGTACCCTTGGTTACGCAATGAATTTGGGCACGACTAAGCCATTTTAGTTTATGAAATTACTTTACACATTATATAATTTTTAGAAATTACTGCGCTTACAGTTATAATGTTAAGTCGACTGAGTACCTTACATAGACATAGAGTAAATTTTACATTTTATATATATTGTATAAATTTTATAACATACCTATGCATATAAATAAACATACAAATATGTGTATGCATATTTGAATTGATGAAATGATTATTAGATGAAAAAAATTATATTATTAAGACTACAAAAATTTGTTCATTTTCTATGAAAACTTTTAGTTCACTGTGAATTTAAAATATAAACTTAAAGATTAATAATTATAAATAAACAACTACAATATTTTAAATATAAATCCATTTACTTACTCTTAAATACTATTTTTCTTACATAAAATTATGTACATTTATTTTGTTACTTATTTTGTTAATTCATAATGAATAAAGACATTAAAAAAAAATAGCGACAATTGTAAATGATGTCAAAGATTACAATAAAAAATATAAATTGTTTCATCCACGATCAACCATCTTGTTGAACAAATGGATTTGGAATGGATTCCATACCATCTACTGGACAAATGAGTACAACTGAAGTTCCTCGACAAACAACGAGACCTAATAATCTAGTATCTTGTATTAATTTATATGGATCATCAGGATCTGTTAAAAATATTCGATAATTATTTTTTAATAATAATGTAAATAAAAATAATAATATTTTAATACTAACCTCGAAGGTATTCGGTTGTATTATCTAACACAAGATTAAGTAAGGGATCGTATCCTTTCAAGATTCCTGATGCTTCTCTACCGCCAGCAAATTTTACTCTGATATTTTTTTCCAAATACTTCGATAAATCCAAAATACTTTCTTTCCTTTTCTTTTCCTTCTGATCATTTTGAGAATTTTGCTATTTCGTCATGAAAACATAAAGATTAATTTAAAATTTTGAAATTAAAAACAAAAACACATAATAGGTTAATTTTTTAATCATGAATCTACCTGAGGCTTCCCTGTCTGAAATATAAAACAAAATATTTCTTAAGTCTCATTACTTCATTTCAAGATATTTATAATTAGAGATTTTCTATACTTACAGACATTTTTTCAATTAAAAGTTTTAATTAACAAAAATAAAATGTAAATACAATTAAACACAAGTATTTCACACGTACACTTGCGCAAATGCGCTCCTGTATCTAACCTAAATCCACAACAAAACTACAGCATTCGAAAAACACCGGCTTATTAAATGTGGTTGAAATTTAATTCTGTAATTGTATGCTTGTATTAATAAAAATTAATGATAATTTTACATTAGCATTTTATATCAAAACATTATTTAATGACAAAATAATACGAATTATTTGTATAATATTGAATAGAGAATCGCCAACGTTTGTTCGTAGAGTTATAATATAATAACAGTCATATATTTACGAAATAGAATATAAAAAAATATAAATTTGATCGATAAATTTACTTTAAATATAAAATAATGATTTTATAATCTTTTTAACAATATTACTGTTATTACAAATTACATGAAATAGTATTTAGATCTCATATTTAAAAAATAGATTCTAATGAATGCATTAATACATGCTGAAGTTGAAAAAATCAATACGATAATATTTATAGTATAAAGTAAAATATAAAATAAAGATCAGAATTGTTATAACAAACGTTGTACAAATACATATTGTCATGATAATTTTTGCAAAGCACTTTATACGCTTTGCATATCTTAATGTAATTTTCTTAATAGAGAATGATATTTTATTAAGCTAAGTATAAAATCTTCCTTATTTTTTTCTTCTATTATTACGTTTGAAAATAATTTTTTTCAATCAATTACAATGCAGATAAGTAAATAGCCAATCTTTGAAGATGTTTTATTTTCCCATACTTGTAAGATTTAATATGTTCTAAAAAAATTTTCAATTTTAGAAAGAATGTTAACAAAAGGACTTTTAATTTTAAGAAAATGTGTCGTTCGACTTCATAATTAATCATAAAAAAAATAATTTTTGATAAAAGCTTTTATTTACTTGTGTATAAAAAAATACATGCTAGTACACGAAGACGTGCGTAGTACCATGAATCTTGAATTCTGCATCTCTTAACAATTCTACTTGAGTCGTGTTATTTATTTATAACGTCTGGATTTAAGGCTCGTTGTTCATAAATAACTTCACATTGTCATGACTTTTATTGCGGAATCGAGAATATTTTGTCTAATATATATTATTGTGCGCATATTACATCGTGTAATGATTAAACGAAGATTTATTTGATTATAAATTATGTTTATCTGTTATTGAACGATTTTAAAATTTTTTGGAACGTCTAGTTTTATGCTATTTACTATTTTTACTCCTTGAATGCAAATATTTAGCTAGAATTACATTTATTATATCAAATATAATTTATCATGATAATGAAGATGAAGTTGTACTTAAGATTAAAAAAATGTTTTTCATCGAAACTAATTTTTTGTCCTTTTATATAATGTAATTATAATTATATAACATAAATCGTTTAAATTTCAAAATGTCATAATTAAATAATAAATAGTTTATTCAAGAATTATCACTCATTTCGGTAATATAACGAAATTGATTCACTAGTCACTTTAAAATAAATATAAAACAACGTATCGATTAGAAATTTTTCCATTTAAAAAGTGTGCATCACACAATATATGAGTATTAAGTGAACAAGAGCCTTAAATTAACGATCGACTTGAATTACAACATAGATTAATTAATGTTAGTAGTGTTTATATATATATATATATATATATATATATATATATATATATATATATATATAGGCTTAACATTTTTCTTTTTCATTTTTTTTTTATTTTTTTTTACGGACGATATTTTAGTTCGCACATATATCGAACGTTTTGATCTTGTGTATTTGTTTACATGAAAATTACGAATCAGCTATAATTGTAGACACTAGATGCACTTATTTTTTATCTAAAAATTTATTATGTTTACATATTTATATATTAGAAATATTGTACTGCAGATTACAATGAAATCGGCTTATTTCGTTATCAAATTATATGCATAAATTCACTGATAATAATTATTAAGTATTTTATTTAATATTTTCTTACAAATTAAAAATTCGCATTTGTATTTGTATGCACTATTATTTGTTTGTTCTTATTTAAATTTATATTCATTCGTGTATAATTAAATGGCTGGTTACTGGATGGATTAATTTTTATAATTTTAGTAAATATTAATTTGAGATATTTTCGAATTCATATAACATACTACCTTTATAAAAAATTATAAGTAATTGAGACATATAATTATCTTCTTGCAATCTGTGTATATCTAATTAAATAAATAATTTGCTTGAGTCTCTATTTTTGAATATCTATGAATGTTTAATAATTATACAAATAAGAAATTTTTCATTATAGTTCTTAATGTATTAAAAAATTCACTGGCCAAGAATTTAGCCGAACAAGTTAATTTTAGACAATTTTCGAATTATTATACAATCTTTTATAATTATAATTGTATATAATTTAAACAGATTTAATAATTATATTTTTAACAAACTTAATTCAGTGATATAATTTAAAATCTTTTCTTAAAACGGCAACAAAGTATAATTTTTATTAATATAATATATATTAATATAATTAATCGTAAAATAAAATTGGTAATAATAATAATAATGTTAAATATTTTATAATAATTATTATTAGTTTATCAAATACAATGGCAATAAATATAAATGAACTAATAATTATTATTGATAGCCTTGTGATATGGTATTCTTAGCAAGTGCATTTTATTCTTAATAATTATCGTACTAATTGCAATTGACGCAGATGAAAATACGAGAACATTGTGAAATTGATGAATAAACATATATAATACATAGATCGATAGGAAAGTTGAAGAATTGATAGAAAGATATTGAGCGAGAACGACAATAGCTAAACTTACAAATTTTACTTTTTTAATAATGGAAAAATACTTCGTACATTTTTATTGATTATATCATTATTAAATATTCAATTCACAGAATCTTTAAGACAATAAATATCTAAGGGCATTTGTAATTTTAAATTTATAAAAGAAATTTTTATAATAAAAACATTTTTTAGAATAATAATATTAACCATTCTTATCTAATTCCCCTTTGAATTATTAAAAAATGTATGTATTTTAAAAATGTTATCATTCTGTACTTTGAGAAACTTAGTATCAATCTACTTATGGAATCTTTCACGCTGTTTGTTAAATTAAAATTTTATAAATTCTATAAAAAATAAATTGTAAGTTTATAACAAAAAATAAGAATAAATAAGCTGAAAGAAAGTAAACGTTTTGCAACAAATTCTTAGCACTATGGTTGTTTTACTTTTAAATCGATCGATAGATTACATTTAAATAGACAAATAGATTATGTTAAAAATTTCTAAAAATCAAACTATTAACTTTAAGCAGTTAAGAGATATAATACTGGATTCTTGCTAAATAACTCTATTTTTCGATGCTCCAGTTATGTGACGGATATGTATTTTTCAACATATTTTCGTCGTTCTTCAGTCTATTTTAATCAACAATACCTATTTTTTTTTTTTTTTTTTTTTTATTTAAGATAATATTATGATGTATATACGTTTATAAGCTTTGACGTTTAAAATTCAACGTTTTTTTGCTACTTAATTCTTTCTCTGACATGAAAAATAATGCCGCTTTGTATATATACATTGATAATGTGTCACTTATACATTTGTAAAACCTATCGCTGTGCTTTTCTTTTATTATTTTCGATTAGATTCTTTCTATCTATGGTCATTTTTTGAATTTGTAAATTCTTAAGAAGATGAAATCGAATATCATTTCCAAATATTAAATTTATTAAATTCATGGTATCCGTATTTATTTATACTATCTAACGTCAATGGTTCTTGTTTTTTTTTTTTAAACAAAAATTGTCGCTATAACTGTTTTATTTAAATCGATCGATATTTCAGTTTCAAATGACTATCACAAAGGAATGCTTGAAGTTTACAATTTATTAGTAAATTTAGTAAATTATATTTTCATGAAAATTATTCGAATTAAAATTAAAATTTTGGCAACGATATAATTGTCGATTATCAATGTAAAGCTTTTCAACAATAATATATACATAATAACGAACGATTCATTTTAATTCTACCTAAACTTATAAATTATAAAGCTAAAATCGGCACTTATTAATACATTTTTTGGTCATCAACTTTTATCCAACGTTAAACAATGAAACCTATTACCAACATAATAATTAATAACGAACTTACCAATTTTTTAATAATATATAAAATAAAATTTAAGCTTATGATAATTCTTAATATTTATATTTATGTATATTATTGCACCGAGGCGTATCTTATAAAAATCATTCGTCTTTTAACAACATCAATTCTTACTAAATGTTCACGACTAATAACAATGATTTCGCCTGATTACATGAAAGAATGCGAATAATTCGAATTGATAACGAAGTAACACTTAATACACTAATTTTACGTTAACTCGAGGAAAATGCAGCGAGGCATTTCTCGTCATGGGCTTAATGATTTCTAAATAAAATAATTTTTAAGGCCCCATTGAGATCTATCTGAGAATTCCTTAAAATACAGATACGCTTTCCAATAAGTTTTAATAAGAGTTAATCTCATGAAGCATTTTAATATATATATAAAAAAAAAACAGTCGAATAAATAAAGAATTAAAACATAAGGAATGTAAATAAATTAAAATTGTAACTTTTGCTTTTTTTTTTAACGATTCAAGCAGTCTTTTTAGATCGGACAGTGTCTGAAATTGGATGGAATTTTTTCAAAGAATAAATATTTCCTATATAAAAGCGCAGCATTGAAGCTGGTAGAATTAAAATTTTATGCGACCAAAGTATATTTTCTGAATAATTAAAATTTAATTTTTAATTAAGTTTTAATCGCATTGTATACATGAAATGAAGAGCAGTTTATAAAATTATAGATGAAATTTTGTATTTTATTTTCTTATCTCGGGTCGCTCGTATAATCTATTTAATATTCTCTTTACACACGCACGCGCGCGCACACCCACCCACACGCACACCCACACACACACACACACACACACACATGTGTATATATTGTTTAATCTCGATATTGTAATTATGCATTTTGACTAAAAATCATACTATTAAAAAGGAAACTTTTTATATCTAAAAAATGTCCGATCTTAAAGTTAAATGTGATATACCTATGCAATTGTTTATTATTATTATTATTATTATTATTATTATTATTATTATTATTATTATTCATTATTCATTGTTCATTATTCATTATTCATTATTCATTATTCATCATTCATTATTCATCATTCATTATTCATTATTCATTATTCATTATTCAAAATAAAGTGAAAAATTAATTATCTTGAAACTATATCTGTAGTATTTGTATTTTTATCGTCCGAATTATTAAACCCCAAGCCAATAAAAAACAGAATTGCTTGCAGTGACAAATCCAGTAGAAAACATCACAATTGTATTATGAAGCATTGCAATGCTTTTAAATATTGTATTTGTGCATTGTATGAGAAAAAAAGAAGTACACTCTAAAACACAGCGATGTAATTTAATATAAAAAAAATTTTAAAGTATATAAAATCATTACCATATTGCCTAATTAGACAAAGTCCATTAAAATTACATTATGATTTTCATAACAATGCATATCTATTCCAGACATCTTAATCCTCATATTTTCTTGAAAACAGTACGATAAAAATAGATACTTTGGACTACACTTGGTTTAATTCAATCATAACAATATTTATTTCAATCCTAAGGGTCAAAAATTCTATCAACGTTGAAACTCACAACCTGTTATTTGTCTATAACTATTATACTCATAACCTATTATTCGTTTCAAAATCGCTGCATTATACCAAGTAAACTTCTTTCTCCCTTGACGATACCAGAGATGGGCACTGATTATCATATCACGTTCTAAATCACCGTTAAATATCGTACTTTATAAGTTACATAAACTACAGCGAAAACTGGTGTAATACTTTTTAAAATAGAAACACGCGTTTGAAATGTACTAACCGATTCCATTCCATTTGCTGCAAAAGTATCTTTACTCATTCTTTAGGTAAATGTAAAAATTCATGCAGGTTTATAAAGAGCCAGAAATCTTCGTATTCCAAAGGACACTTAATTTGATATACCCGTTGCATCTACGCGTCTCACCTGATGGGCAATCCTGCCATTACTTAAATAGGTAGACTGAAAAATAGGAATCTGTCGTATTACACAAGCAATTCTAGGATACGGGAACCGCGCCCATCTTTGGCTACCGTTCCTAAAAATCCCAAGCAATCCTGCATTTTTTCAATCGTCACATACGATGTATAGCCTATCCAGGGACCTGACGATCTCACGATGATAATTTGAAAAAGTCTATGATACGCTGAGAATGTCCATTATTAAAAGTCATGCAGGAATCGAGGGCATGTGTCCGCTCGAGCGCTCGCCGACTGCGACGACCGATATCGGGGACGGGGCTACGGATGGTCCATCAGACGTTCTCGGATCCGTTGGCTTGCTCGGTCTCGTCCTGCTCGGCAAGAAGGAGCGGTACTGCTTGCTGTCTATTACCGGCTTCGATATCGGCTCGATGGCCCAGATGGAGATGGTGATGTCCGTGAAAGCCGGTAGCCGGGCCCGCGGTACCGGACGGCGTCGTCGGTGCCGAGCGCGAGAGCCACGACCTCGTGGATTTGGTGGACCGTGGAGGCGGTGGGCCAACGGAGACGTAGGTCTTGCCCCGAGTGCGCTTTTTGCGCCCGACGACCGCGGAGACGCCGCTGCTCGACTGCTCCTCGACCGAAGGACTGGGCGGCCGCTGGGATGCCGGGTACTGGCACAGCCCCAGGGAGAACAAGGCCTGGGGCCGGTTCTGTTGCGAGGCTGGTAGCTGGGGCAACTGGTGGATCTTGTCCAGGAGCTCGCGCAGCTGCAATGGTTAATTTTACTTATACGCTGGTACGTTGGATGATCCCGGTCGTTTGATGATCGATTTGGTTGGGATTTGCGGAATGGCAATGGATGGCAAATTGGCATAGGAGAATTAGTCGATTCTTCATAATTGTTTCATTAGTCATACGGGCGAGTCATTTACGATAAATACTCTTTTCATATAAATTATTTTTTCGCGTATTTCAGCTTATATGCGATAATATTGATAAAAGCAATTCAACAACTGTTCCACATTATCATTAAAAACTTAAGTTAAAAGAAACAATGTGAGCGGTACATAAGAATTGTTATTTTTCAATGCTTCCCCGGAATAATAAATGTGCGAGATATTATGATGAGATCGACCGAACTTCGTAAACAAGTAAATGTTATGAAGTACTTGTAACGTGCAAACATTACAAGTACATGTTAAATAGATATCGTCTATTGGCTAAATATTTTTTAATGCTCATAATTTGGGAATTTAATTATTAAGAATATCACTTAAACTTTCTCGATATAAAGGTATGGACAATTAGCTTAAAGTCAAGCCTCGGATTAATATTATTTATCTACTCTATAAAAAAAAAATAGAAAAAAAAGAATAAAAAAAAATATATATATATATATTTTGCACGGTATTTTGTAAATGAGAAACATCTGTACGGAGCATTTAATCGATTAAGATTAAAAGTAAATTTAAAAGACGACAGGTATAAATCAAAGCTCCTAATGTAAGTTTAAAATTGCCGTAAAAGCCTTGTACTCGTTCGTTGGTGTAACGACAAAATTGAAAAGATAAGGAATGCTACCTCTATCGTGGGGCTGGTGGCTCTAGGTGGCGAAAGCGGCGACTGAGCAGCTAAGCTCGAGACGTCCGAGGTAGTGCGATGATTAGCCAAGGAAGCCAGTGAACCTTCCCCAAAGTTTGTCGGTCGCTCGTACGCACCACCTATTGCGCCGCACTGTAATTATCAGCCTTGTATTACCGTTAATGTGTAATGATTTACATAATAATTTGTAATGTCACGGAAACCGGCAACTTAACGCAGTTGAATTTTTTTCTTGTCTTTTCTTTTTCGTTTAATAATAAAATAAATACACATATGAAAAAATATTAATAGATAATAAATTGCCATTAGTAACTTAATATCTCGGAGAGATGGGAGGTGGGAGTCGTTAAATATAAGATATAGATGATGTTGTAAGTAATCGTCTGAACTAATCGAATTTTCAAATGACGAATGAGAGTATCAATACACGAATGAGCATTGTTGAAAAATTCATTCGCCCATCAAACGCATACTTAAAAGCAACAAATAAACTATATTTCTAGCAAAAACATAATTGCCTTTGTCGTTAGTTTATAATTATATGGTAGTAGTGAATGCGGCTATTTAAATTGATTCAAAACAAAGTTCTTGAATATTCGATTCAAATTGTTTTAATTACTTAAATATCTAGATACTTTACGTAAAACAATTTACTATCCATACAATTTAGTAATAAAAAATTATTAAGCAATTTAGTTTAGTGAAAAATATTATTGAATATTAAAAACAAAACATTACTAATGCACATGCGTTACACATAAAAAATTACAAAAACATTTTATAAACATAATATTTAGAGCCTTTAAGTAGTGATTTTAAGCAGTGCATCTGTTCGAAAACGTTTAATGTTTAAAAGGAATTTTATTCTAATAAAGCGATAGCAACTATGTTTAAAATATTTCATACAAATTAATGTCGAGAGAGTTATTAATTTGACTTACAACGAAAGAAAATTATTATACCAATAAACGAAATGAAAATCAAATTGAAAATCTTAAAAACGACTATAATAAATTTTTAAAAACATTAATTATCAAGAAGCTAAGATATTAACAATAATTATAAAATTAATCAATGATTACTTTATTTTCTGAGATCAATACAATAACTTTTTAACCTAATTTATTACAATTGCTCGTTCAAAATGAATGTCTTTTAGCGATTCTAATACGTTTATTCTAAAAGCATATTTCGCAATTATTTGCCAAATTACGGAGGCTTACATATTATTAATATTACTATTGAGTGTGATGATCGAAGACACGTCTGGCAATAACGATATCTCATCATAGAGAAAATAGGATAAAAACAAACCAAAGCGGTGGCTCCACCGCCGCCGACCGATGATAGCTCGTCGACGCTGTTGTTGCAGGAGTACGGAGGTGGTATGATGGTGTTGGCCTCATTGACGACGTTGCACATGAAGCTCGAGCTGAGGGAGTCTAAGGTGCTCGCGTGCGACAGCGATCTGAAGTAGCGCATCACCAGACCGGAGGCCCCTTTCCCGTAGCCGTCATCGTAGCCGATTACCAGAGGATAGAGATCCGGTTTCGCCGTCACCTGCAGCATTGATAAAGCCTTGGTAATGCTTACGAATAAATGCCTTTCTCTCCTCTCTTTTCACGCAAATTTCAATAGTCAATAGCATTATTTGCTCAAGAGTTAATGTTGTCTATGGTAGAAGGTGATTTGTGATTCTTGTACATGTCTCGAGAGCTAAGGCTTTAATACAAAATATGAACTTGATTAGTTTATGGTTGTCAATTATTTATATTTGGCTGTCGATTATTTATATATTTGTGCTGCATTGGTGCATCAAACTATCTTCAATGCTTGCAAACCTTAAAGTGAGCGACAAGGAATTATTAATAAATATAAAGTACTTCGATTCCATTAAACAGTCTTTCGCATAGATTGCGTTACTTTTGCATAAATTATCTACAAAATTAAGTAACTTAAAGATTGAACTCGTGTCTTTGAAAGGTAAATAATAAAAATTTAATCAAAATTGTAATTATACTTGAAATAAATAGGTGATTGTTCTTATACTTTTGTCAATGTGTTGATCAATAATGAAAATGTAGAATAAATTTTTAAACATTATTGGCTTGTGCATCTATGGGAGTTAATCTTTATAAATTTATTTAATTAAATTTCATAAAAGTGGCTGAATTATTTCATAATAATTTTAGCAACATGGAACAATCATATTCATGATGGATATCGATTGATTTGATGTAACTTTTAACTATATTTTAATTATTTGAACCTTTATGTCTACCGTTATATGTATCATAAATTATAGAAGATAAGACGGTGCACGAGTTAAAAAAAATCTCTCCACTCCTCTTTTTTTTTTTTTTTTTTTTTTTTTTTAATGTAATATTTAATAAAGTTTTGGAATTACTTGACAAGTATAATGTGGCAAATTCGACATCGTCACAAATTAATAATTAAATTAGTAATAAATTACTTGCAAGTGACAAAAGAATAGTAATTTACGGCGGATAATTAACAAACCTCATTGTAAGGTGGTGGCATTGCTTGCACTACAGAACTGCATCGACTGTAATGGGGCGGAAGGTAGCAAGAACCAGTGGATGCACGATCAGAAATTGTTCCGTCTTCCATCATGTTTGCGTGTCTTCTGCGGCAAAGCCAACAGCCACAAGCCGCCGCAATCAGTAAACCCACAAGTACTGCGATCCTACGATAGGATGACCGTAACATTCATTGCTTAAATATTTCAAACGAGGAAATGGAATATGTTAATAAAATTTTATGATTGCTTAATCGTAGAATCAATCGAACTTAGACTTTTCCTAATCAGAGCCTCGTCTTTTAACATTCCAATGTATTTATGTCGACATCTTCGAGCTAATAGTAATATTATATGACGTGGTTTTCCAATGAAGATACGCATTGTTTGTTTTTTTTTTGTCTTTTTATATAGAAATATTTAATACTTTTAAACAATGGTAGTATATACGAACAATTATTATTATTCAAAGTTAATGCATCATGCTTTGATATACGTAAAGGATACGATAGATACAATATTGACATTTAGTGAAAGCTTGTAGCAACTTGTGAGCAATATCGTGACGAACTATTTTTACATTAGCTATTTGCGCAAATTCTTGAACATAATTAATATTTTAAATTATTTATGTAAAGCTCTTTCTAATAATATTTGCGTTACAAAACATTTTTTGTAATTTTCTTTTTGAAAAATTTTTCTGTCTAGTTGAGATACTTAAAATTTGTGAGAAATCTTTTCAATTTTATGTATAAATTTTAAAATCTTATCAATATTATTAAATATTTTTTATAGCACAAAAATGAAATTGCATGACTATTTAAATTACACATAAATAATTATTAAACAAAAAAAGAAATTAAGAAACTAAGAAACTACGAAAAATTGGCAAAAATCATTTCGATTAATAAACATACCACAGATACCAATAGTACCAAAACAGAAATTTGAGCATTTCTGTGACAGAGTTTCCAATCTGAGGAAATGACGAATAACTACAGCAGCCCAAGCTGCAGCATTCTTTTGGGAATGTACATCTAAAAAAAAAAAAGAATTGTATTTGTTATGTAACTGAATGAGCATATAAATTAATTTGAATAAATAGATTGTCGTAAAAGAAAATCTTTCTATATTTAGAGTAAAAGATAATTCGATTTTGCATAGATTAGTTTCATTGTTAACAAACACTATACTATTGGAATGTCATACGTATGCGACCGAAATAATAATAATATATATATATATATATATATATATATATATATATATATATATATATATTATTAAATAAGAAAATTGATATTATAAAGATACTTACACGTGACCTCCATTACAAAGCTTCGCCGAGACCTTAAATGAAAATATAATTATAAAAAAATAATTCATAGAGGATTATGCGTATATGTGCATTAAAAGTTATTATTCCTAATTATCAAATATAATCTTATTATATAAGGCGTAAACCTCTTAAATTGCGAACTCATAGGGAGTATGAAACAAAGATTGCGTGAAAATTGTGACGGGCGGAAAACCAATAATAAGATTTGAAATTGAGGGTAAAACAAAAATGTAAGCCTTAAAACTTTTATTGCAGCTGAAAAAAGTATATAAGCGCAGTTATTGGACTAGATGCTCGTAATGATTTTTGTCGAGGTTAACAAGACGAAGAAAGGTAAAACGTGATAAATGAAAATTAAAATCTATGGAAATGGAGATAATATTTTTTTTTACTACAATATACGAAGATAACAAGAATGATTAGAGGTCGGTAGACAAAAAGAAGATAGGGCTAAACATTAATAACACATCTGTAATAATAATCAATATAAGCAAGTGTATGTATATGCGGACATAAGCCAGTGGCACCATGAAAGATGCCTGCCCTGACAAAGTATCACGCGAGCGTATAAAATAAGAAGCAAAGCGTTGTGATATGGTTAGGCAAAAGAAAATAATAGGTTGGCTAATGTTCAGCACAAAATCTTGTAAGCAATGTACAATTGGCGAGCACAGTAAGCAAAGAGCATGAAAAAGCTCAAGTGCGGGGCTAACAAAGCCGACACAGTCCGAACGACGAATCGTCGAGTTAAACGAACGAATGTAATTCCCAGGGTGTGTGCGTACATTTTGTTCGAATCCCACATCAAATTCCATGTCGACGACGTACTCTCATTGTGTTGGAGGCTCCAATGGCTCGCGCACCTGCGACGACAAATCGAAGCCCACGCGAGACTGACGCATTGGGAGGCCAGTTGTCGACGCGCAGCCTCGCGACGGTCCCGAGGTGTCGAAACGAAAGCGAATGGGGAGGGATGACGACGATGATGCAGGGAGCGCCGAGGGAGTCGCGCAATGCACCACACGCGTGTCCTTGTGCTTGTGTGCGTGCGCGCGACGCCGAGGGAAGCGAGGACACTACGACTTCGAGGTGGATTCTCCCGCTGAGGGATTATTGGCGCGTAGCTTTCCGCGCCCAACGTTCGAATGCTCGAGTGTGCTCACAAGGAGGATTGTGTTTATCGTGGCGCATGGAATTTGCGATTTGTGATAGTCAAGCACATTTCGATATTTGATTCGCTAATGGTTCGTTATATGATTGATTTTAGCGTTGCATTACAGAGAATGTGATTACTGTAGTGCGAGGGTTGGGATAGGGGTAGTGGAAAAGGAGCAGGGTACGATAGGGCGGGAGGGGGGGCGGGGGCGGCGGCGGCGGCGGCGGCGGCGGCGGCGAGTTAATGGCATGTCATTTCTGTTCCGATGATTTTACTTGATTTTACATTGAAAGTAAATTTAGATTTCCATATTTATGCAAACAGAATTATCAATGGTCAATCATCTGATATTTGGTGAGATCGTATTAATTAAGATTTATCAAATAGTGTGAATTAATGGCGAATGAACGCTATATGATGTATATGATTTATCGATTTATATTCATAAATATTAACGCGTAAATTAGCAAAATCTTAACAAAAATTGTTTCGCTATATTTGGAATGAAAAATCTTATTCTTACACCGATGACTTGAATGTTATCGCATCGCTAGATAAATTTTAAATCGCAAATACATAAAATGACTTTTATCCATACAGACTATGGATTCGATTAAATATCTTGTGTCTACTTTTGATCTTTCTTCTTAAAAGTTTCAAATCAACTTGAATGTCTATGTATCCTATTTTATCTTATAATCAATATTTAAGGATTTAACCTGCAAAGGCTATTTAAAAACAAAACAAAAAACAAAAACAAAACAAAAAACAAAACAAAACAATACTTTTGTGTGTTTGTAATGATATTTGAAAATACTATCCGATGAAACCCGATAGAAACCCGATAGAAACGTTTGAATTTCGTTGAATCCGTTTGAACAAATTTCTCGTTTAAAAGTAAATCGTTGCTTAGTTTGCTTCACATATCCACCAAATGGCTTGATACATTTTTTTACATATCATATACAAATAATTTTTGGATTCTTCAATATTGAACAAATTAATCATGTGCGACGGCACTTTAACAAATAAAAAACTTATTTTTAAAACGACATTATTACGTGCAAAATTTTGGCAAAATTTGTGCTTAAGACGATGCAAATGACACGATGAATAACTTGTTTTATATAAATTTCTCAAATTTCAGTAATCTCGAAGTAGGCAAAGCAACGGGATGGTGAGTCGACATTAACGAAATCATAACAAATGATAGTGCAGCAGGATGATATAAGAAAGTATCCAGTAGGATTTTTAATTGTCAAAATTATGCACGCCTTATCATCTGAAAGCTTGAGTGTGTCGATAAAAATTTGTAAAGCCAAGTGCAGACAATGAGCAGAGTCATTGATGAGGCAAGACGAGGGATATTTAAAAAGCTAACGTTCGCATGTCGATCCTCGACGAAATAACCTCCAAAAGAATAGGGAAGGATGAGTGTGCCTGTGTGTGTGGGAGGGTAGGGGATTGGCAAATCTAATTGGCAACTTCCATAATGAAACGAGTTCGACGATGAAAGCTGGTCAATAACCGGTGAGGGGCTCGACCGTCGCTAAAAATACATTTACAAGGGCGTGTTGGTGGCAGGTACGCGAGGTTTGCTGGGTGCAATTATCGATAAGGCGCCAAGTGACCTGTGCAAGAAATGCGTGACGTATCGATCGGTCCGTGGAAGCCTCGCGAATCGTATTGGCATTCGCGAACACCTGGTGACGAGTGAATGGTGGCGGGTGTGACGAGACAACGATATTAGAAGAGATGAAGAGGTGGTGCGATCGTGCACTGACTGAGAGCTGTTGTCGGCTTACTTGAGCGAAGGAGATGAAGATGAGCGGTAGGACAAGCCGGATTGCGCTCCGTAGCTTTCGGAGCCACGGCATCGTCTGGACCTGCCGCCGAGTCTCTCGGCTCTCACCCTTGCAGCTGGCGCCTGCGCATATCGTGGATAATAGCTTCGTAATTCGGCTCGTTTCCTCGTTGTGCGTCTAAGGGCGACTTAGACATTAGAAACCGTGCTACCTGATTTCTTACGCGAGTAATCCTAGTATTTGCCATGAATATCTAAATAATTTTATATGCATGGTGCAACGAAAATTTTTACGAGTTTTTGAAAGATTGCGAGTGCGACTGAATTAGCATAGCCGTAAAAAGAATCTCTGAAAAATGGCTAAATGGCTGAATTATTATTGGTTGCTCGATTTTTTCAATATCGTTTTCTATTTCACTTTTTCCGTAACATTAAATGCTACTAATAACAGTTAAAAGCCAATCTGCTTATTATTCGTGCCTCTTATTACGGAGCTTTTAAAGTTCGCATAAATTATGTGAATGCTCGATTCTCCCTTCCGAGTATAATAATCAGATTATGTGAATTTTAACAGTCAGTTAATAAGCGATTTGACAATTTTAAACTATTTTTTATCTCAATTGTGCCTGTAATAATTTGCGATTATTGTAGTTAGAATAGATTATTTTATAAAGCTCCGTATAATTAATCGTTCAAATTTTTAATGGCTATACGGGGCAAGTGTAATGATATTTTGAGAAATGTAATTGCAATTTCTAAAATTTACAATAATGTAATTATAAATTAGTCACAATTGTACGAATAAAAATTAATATTTAATTCAGATTCTTAAATCGACGTATATAAATGAGAATTATTTTACTTGAATTATATCGTTTAATTTATATAACAGTACTGAATAAACACGTGAATATATCATAAATACATACTACTATATAAATACATATATGTTCTCATTTAAATTAAATGGGCAAAATGCCGAGTAATTTTTAAAAGTCTTTATTATATCTAAAAAGTCTTAAGATATACAATTATTATTGATTATTTGAGATTTTATTGCGGACGTGTTCGTTGTATATTACAATTTGTCACATTTACCCGAACATTCATCATTATTCAAGTTTGTGCAATTACGTTTAAATTTAGCAATCCATTGCTCAATGGGAAACAAAATATTTTTTTATATAATACATTTTTTGGATTCTAACGAGAATTGAATAGTAATCTTTAATATATCAATTTTTTCTTAATAGATATATTATCATTGCAGAAAATTTTACACAGACATTTTTGTAGAAAATATGAATGTGTCTCTAAGAAAAAATGAAATTTTTAAGTAGTTATTATTTTGAAAAATTTTTTCATAATATGATAGTATAATGTTAATTAATAATGATATTGAATATGATATGAATTAATAATATAATATACTATAATATTTTAATTCAAATATCAGATTATGCAAATAGAAATAAAATAATATGCTGTAAATTATTAAAATTCTCTACTTTTCAAGATGGGCGGAAAAATCCTTAGGGCTTCGTGTAACTCACATTATACAGCAGATCATAATGACGATTTCAATATCAAAATTTCTTACTCTATTGTTTAAAAATTTCTTTATCCACATCGAGTTGACAAAGTCTGAGACATTAGATACGATATTTTACGATATGACGTTTCAATTTATCATTTACAATATAATGATATGAACGAGTCCCGACGAGGTCTATTAACGTAATTTTAAAATATTTCGGACAGTTTTGATTGAACATAAAATAAAAGAACACGAGAAAAAATAAGTATCCGATCAATTTCTAATGAAATTCACATGCCCAGTATACTGATAAGATTTCAGATTTCTTGCTATTTATCGGGCAAAATTGACTTAAGGCTAATTTTAACCAATTTTCGCGGCAATCTTTGGCAAGAACCTTCAATATTTATATTAATAACAATGCAATTATTTATGACGAAATCTGTTATTTAAAAAGTTTTACTAATAAAAAGTTGTATTTTCTAACTGTACATAGTAATTAGTTGGTGCATTAATATTTCGTCCTCTTAATAAAAACGTGTATGATATTATTAAAAGAATCAATAAATTGAGCAAGCTCAAAAAAAAAAAAAAAAAAAAAAAAAAAAAAAAAAAATGGAAGTGAAGAAATTTCATAATTTTCGATCTAATTACGAGAAATGCAAAGATATTTGACGCTCCTTTTGAAATAATTTATAAATAATACTACCTACATTAAATTAAAGCCAAACCATTTCGATCGTAATGTTTATAAAAGTTTTCACTCTAAATCTTTCATATTAGCATCTTCATTAATATTTGATCAGTTATTGTAAATAATTCATAGACGAAGTTACATGAGCAGAAAACGGAGAAAAGAAAACTGAGAATAAATAGCGATAATAATTATTTCCAACTGTTATCGTACAATTACGAAAAAGCCATCGGCTAAATACATAAATCGAATGGGTCATAGCCAAGTTTATAATACCGTATCCATGAGTTCATTGTTATAAATGATCTTTAATCAATCGTTCACGTATAGTGGAGGTTGAGTCTCGGTTAAGCGTTTAAAAAAAAAAAATAGAAAACCGATTAATAATCTATCGCGCAGTCTCTTCTCCCGGCAATAATACGAGGAGTTCGTATTAAAAAAAAAAAAAAAAAAAAACCTGATTGCCAAGACGTCGTCGCACCCGATGGAGAATTTCGACGCAAAGCATATTCGTTTAAAAAAACTTTAACACACCAGAGAGAGAGAGAGAGAGAGAGAGAGAGAGAGAGAGAAAGTCACAGAGCTTTTTAAATACGTCAATGAAAGGCAGAACGTTGCGGTCGGGCGCTCCCGGGACCATTATTCAAATGTCCCTAAATGAAACGAGCATGGCGCGAAGAAGGAGAAAACACGTGCGCAGCCCGCGATATTGGCAGCACTGATTAAAGCGCGAAAGCAGCTGTGCTGATCGGGCGACGCGTGGCTAAGAGGAGTTGAGACGTGCACAGTTGAGTACGGAGACCGCCAGACGGCAATAATAATCATTGGCTGGTGGCTGGGGCCTGTGGATTATAATAGTCGATTAAGCGAATAACTCCCCGCGGGTCGGCAAGCGCGTATTCGGGACGCGCCGCTGCTCTTGTCGCGGTGCACATCGTATCTTCTCCGCGATGTTTGCCGACAGATAATAATAATAATAGCGGCTACGGCTTCGGCGAGCGCACAATTCGGCCATTCGGCGCGCGAGCTAGGAGATCGAGGCGGCCTATCGTTTATCGTAGCGAGGGCGCGATAACGAGGAGCCCACGAGTACATCGTAGGCGTGCTATGCCCGCGGCGCCGCGCTCCGGAAAAAAATGAGGTTAACCGCGGCATGCCTCTGGCTACTGTGCGCTTGCTGGTGCACGAGCCGCGCCGTCGCTTGGGACAATGAGGAGCTCGAGGTCTTCGACGTCGTCGAGGAGGTTAACAAGAATTTCTACGAGCTCCTTGGCGTGCCCCAGGTCAGGACTTTAATTCTCGTTTTTATTGTGTTTACAAGAGTGACGTGGTGTATGAGTGGCTTCTGCTCTTACGATTGCCAAATGCGATGGGGTTACGACAAACATTTACCGTTGGAGCCTCAATTTCCCTAATCTCACGAGCATTATTAATTGCCTTACTTACAGACGGTCCCGTCTTATTTTCTTCTACGCTATATTTACGCGATCGATTGATTTATGTACATTGATTACCGATTCTCCATGCTCTTTGTCTTTATTGATTTTTTGTTTTTTAGTTTTTTGTTTTTTTTTTTTTTTTTTTTTTTTTTTTTTTTTTTTAAACGGTGTAGTGGGCCGATTTTGTTTTATTTAAAATCAGCTATTCCATCGAATATTTCTCCACGTCTACGTCATGCATGTTATATCGAAAGCATTGCTATTAAATTCAAAATAACTTTCGAATTCGTTGAACCAAACATATGGCCAGTGACGGTTGAATTTTCAACAATTCAAGCATTTTCCCATTTCTCAGCTTTTTATTTATTCAAAATCATCAAAAGTTTAAATTTTTCTTTTATACATATGTAAGGAAATTCCAAATCAATGCTCAGTATATTAGAAGAAGTAACGGAATTAATGTAATTATAGTCATATGCACATTGTAAATTTCAATTGTATGCCCGTGTTTATTAATTAATATGCCAACAATAAGTTAATATTTATCTCGGTGATTTATCAAATAACACATTAGACTTCTAATTTATTCAACTTTGAGCTAATGGTATAATGTACCGATACTTATTTAGTATATGTACCGTTCAATATCAATCAATAACTAAGATATCAAAAATTAATCGATTCTTTATTGTTTAATAGATTAATAAGATTAGTAAATTTCATTATAACAAAAAGTAGTCAAATTTATTAATGCTAATTTTTAATATTACATTCTAGAATGCTAATTCATCAGAGATTAAAAGAGCTTTTCGTAAGCTATCGTTACAACTGCATCCGGACAAGAATAATGCGGAGGATGCAGAGGTTCAATTCAGAAATGTAATGAAGTTTTTAAATATTCTTTTGAATTTAGTATTATCAAGTTTTTCATGTTAATATTATACCATTTTATACGTTACAGTTAGTGTCAGTTTACGATGTTCTTAAAGACTCAAAGAAACGAGAACACTATGATAATGTTCTTGTTAATGGATTGCCAAATTGGCGGTCAGCTGTATATTACTATCGTCATGTACGGAAAATGGGTCTACTCGAGCTTACCATTATTCTTTTCATAGTTATAACAGTTGGCCAATATTTAGTATCATGGGCAGCATATTTTGAAAAGAGATATACATATGTACGTGTTCGATTCTACAGTTACTTATAATATTTTATACAATTGTAGTTTATTATTTAGCAAGCATTTTTATTAAATTATATTAAATTTATTTTAGGAACAAGTATTGGGCAGCAAGTTGCAGAAATTGCAAAAAAAGAATCGTAAAGGAAAAATGGATGTTCCAGATTTAGCTGAGATTTTGGAGAAGATTCCAACTCCTAGTGCATGGAATACACTTCCATTTCAATTGCCAAAGTGGATATACACTTCCATTGTTGGTATTCCGTCCACGATTCGTAGTATACATAGAATATTAGAAGAGCGAAAGCGCAGGAAAAAACAAGAAGAAGAAGAAGCTCTGTTAGTTTTTTTCATAAGCATGCTTAACTTTTATTATTATTCTATTCATTCAATCGAATTAACATTGTAATACTTAATTGCAATACATAATTCTCCATTTTAAATTGAGAATATGTTAAAAATTAATTTATTGTACTAGTCAATATTTATATAATATAAATGTATCCGATTTACGAAGAACTATATTGCATTAGCTTATTATGCTTGAATGAATATGACGAATTGATAAAAGATTCTTTGAAATTGTGTAATAAAACATAAATGTGAAGATTATACAAAGTATATGAAAAAAATTGTTCAACTATATTTATATAATTTTGATCATTTTCTATGAGAATTCACATTTATACGGTTATTTTTCAAACGTATTAATAGATTAATATTAAGAGGTTCAAAAGGCGTTATTTTTATACAAACGTTTATATGAATATTTTATTTATTGCAAAGACTTAACTTTATGTTTATATCGATTATCAATTCTCTATTATATAAGAAATACGCGAAGTTTCTAAATTCTATTGTTTACATTACATTTTATGTTATTTACTCATCATTTTATCAAAATTTAATAATCAAAACGATTCTTTTAGCGCTCAAGAAGAAGAGCTTGAGTCGGAACCAGTGCCTCGAGGACCAAGAAGACGACGACAAGGCTTTATGCCACCGGAACGTGGTGAACGAGCTGCTCGAGAGAACTATAAAAAGTTCAATAATGAAACGACAAATCAACAGGCTACGGATAAACAAAGAGTCAGTGGTGGTCTATGGACAGACGACGATATACTCGAGTTGATTAAATTGGTTAAGAAATTTCCCGGCGGAACTATGAATCGCTGGGAAAAAATTGCTGAGATAATGAATCGTACCGTGAATGAAGTAACGCACATGGCAAAAAAGGTTTTCAATTCATATTTGTTTTATTATTATTTTTGTTTATATCTAACAGTAAAGTATATAAGTATTTTATTACTGCCTTATTATAAAGTTAAAGAACTAAAATTGTATGATAATTTTTCAATGCAAAACCTCAGCTGTTTTAGAAAGATTAAATTTTTTTTTATTATTCAAATTGTGGAAAGATAAATTTTATAAAATTTTCAAGTTTAATACAGTAAGCTTACGCAGGTGCTTTATTTCTAAATAACAAATTACATAGTTATACATTGAATATAAATTTAAATATTTATGTAAAACGTTTGCCATCATATTTTAATCATCATCAAATCAAATCATATCATATCATCTATATTTAATATATCAAATATATATATATATATATATGTATATATATATATCAAATATATATTTAATCATATCAAATTTTAACACTACTTTTTTATAATCATTATAATTCATAGGTTAAGGACGAAGGATTAAAACCTAATCAACAAAAAGATGAAAGTGCAATTGAAGAATCTAAAAAAGTTAAGACACGTGCCGAAGTTATTGAGAATACATCTGAGTGGAGTCAAGAACAGCAAAAGGCACTTGAAATTGCATTATTAAAATATCCCAAAGGAAGTTCGTTGGATAGGTGGGAGAAAATATCGTCGTATATTGAAGGGAAAACAAAAGTATGTTTTTAATTTTTTGAATCAAAGAATTGATCAAATTTTTGGAAATCAAATGTGTAAATACATATAATATTTGTTGCAGGAAGAGTGCCAAGGACGTTACCGATATTTGGTGGACATTGTGAAAAAGAAAAATTTGCAGTGATTGTGACAGGTTATTTGAAACTGGTTTGAACTACATGAGTAGAAACTGGTGCTGTCTTCAGTGGATTGTGTTACCAAAATACCTGTCAAAGAATATTAGGTATTCCTTAATACAATGACATTTTGTTATAAAAAATACCTGTTGATGTATTTATTAAATATAGATTTAATAATTTAAAAACGAAATATATATATTATCGTCATTTGTAAAGATTGAATCTTCTATAAGTACAAAAAATTCTTTAAGTAAACGTTTATTATAAATGTCACTTTTGAAGTGTAAATTAAGTTTAGAAAATTTAATATAATGAAAATTCCAGTTAACTTAGTTATCCGAGGAACAACTTTCACAAGAACATTTTACAGGTACTGTAAGGGATTTTTTGATTTTTTCTCCATCTTCGCATATTAACTCCACGGTAATCTCCATATTATTCAATGGTTTACAGCATTTACAATTAACCACTTGATTCCAGTTTTCTATAATTCAGAAAGAATTTTGTATGTTTGTGTGTTTGTATGTGTGCGGCTAGATTTGAAATACATAAAATTTATATTAAAATTAATATAAAAAAAGCATACCGGTATTAAAGTATGTTGATGAATTACAATGTCCATGACATTCCGTTAGATTTTTAATAGGTTCAAAGTTCTTACATGTACCATGAATACCTTCGTTTTCCATCAATATTCCAATAGTTTTCTCGAAATCAATAGCTTCTGCAGCACATGGCTCTATAATATAAAAATATAAATATTATTTTTTATACAGTTATTATGAAAATTATATAAAATATTTCTTAATACTAACGTTCGACAAGTTTATTATCAGATGTAATATTGCACTTCTTACAACAACCATCAAAATACATTAAATCTGGTAAACAGTTTAGCTCTGGACAAACTGGTGAACTCGTACTTATAAGTAGCTAAAAAATAAATAAATAAATTAAAAAATAATAATGTTAAATATCGTATATTTTAAATTACAATATTTTTATCTTTTTTCTCTCTCCATATTTTATTATGTATAAAGAAAAATATATAATGTATGTCTTTGTCTCGATGTAAATATTATAAAAATACACTAACTCAAAAACAAAACAAAACAAAACAAAACAAAACAAAACAAAAAAAAAACAATTATTATATGTTCACAATTTTAAGAAAGTGACCGTTTGAAAAATTAGAATTAATAAATTACTATGCTTAACACGTGTGCACGTGTGTCTTATTAAATAAGCTATTGAAATTAATTGTATGCTACGTATGAATGATAAGTTAACGAAACAGGATGAGGTGGAGGGCCTTTTATGGAACAAAACTTATTACTGAAGTCTGATATATTATTGCACTATTTTATGAAGTCGAATATTTCTCAAATTAAGATGGAGTTCTAATCTTAGTTATTTAAAATTGCAATATTAAAATCGAGGTTTTGATGTAAATCAAAGGAATTTTCGAATGAATGCGTTAAGCTATAAAAAGCATTTGGTTATATATTGCGGACATAAATTATAGTTAAAAATTTATCCTTAATATAATAATATTCAACAGTCTCATATATATTTTTAGCGAAATTATTATCAATAGATAATTCATATAATTAATGAATAACTGTTTACCAATGTTTTAATTTATTATTTATTATAAGAATACCACAAACTTGATATTAGAAATATTGTATTAGGCAAATATTGTTTTATTTAACTTTATTTTCATAACTCATGAAAATATGAAAACAATAATCTCCGTATTAAAAATATTATATAAAAATTAAAAATATTATATAAATATTAAAAATATTATATAAATATTAAAAATATTATATAAAATTTGACAAGCTTTTCCATTAACATTACATATAGGTTGTAATTATTTTAAATATATTAAATCATACAATTTTTTAATGATAATGACCTCATATAAGTACACGTGAATAAAATCACGTAAGTACTTGTAAATAATCTACGTACCTGATCTTTCTGTTCAATGCACGAATAAGTAGTGCAATTATCATTGGAGTACCAAATCTTGCCGGGTTCGAACAAAAGATCGTCACTAACACAATAAGTTTGCTTACATTCTCCACAACAGTTTCCATAATTTGGTTCTTGATATATCCATCCCTATAAATATAATCAATTTACAATTCAAACCAAATAAAATATAGTTTTATACGATAATAGTGTTATTTACCTTTGGGCAATTTGTATTACAAGTCTTGGTTTCCATGTGTTTTACAATTTTACCATCATCAGATTGTATGCAAGATTCGAAGATACAATTGTCGTTCAGGGATTTCCAAGTTTCTCCAATTTCATAATACTTGCCATTGCTAAAGCACGCTGTCCTAATAAAGTTAGGGCAGCACTCGCCGTGAACCTTCTGTGTTTCTATTTTGTAATTATTTTTTTCCGATGGATCCACATCGCCGCAATTTTCTATCGCAACTTGTATTTGGAACTTAAAATAACAAATCAAATAAGATTACAAATATGTTTATAATATAAAGGTCCATTAATTTAAAGATTTCCACTAAAAAAAAAAAGAAGTACTTTTTGATAATTCCCTCGATTTTAATAGACATTTAATATCAAGTTTTTTTTTTTTTTTTTTTTTTGTATCAATTCATAATATTACTTCCAAAAATAGATGTCAAATTAATAATTAAACAATTCAGAATCGAAGAATTTCTTCTAAAAATTAAACGCTAAATGATGAAGGACGATAAGGAAAAATTTCTTCCTTATAAGATGTAATTAAAAAAAAAAAAAAAAAAAAAAAAAAAAAAAAAAAAAAAAAAATCTTATAAGAATTAATTCGTTGGACATATTAGTAAATAAACGATGTAAATAATCTTGCAACTTAAAGCTAATGTTGTCTCAAAAGGACGCTTTTACAAGTAACGAATAGAAACATAAATACCGATCCGTTGTAAGATGTACACGATGCCTTAGAGCAATAGTCATTGGAATACCAAATTTCCCCATCGATTTTCAAATTGCCGTCGACGACGCAACCTAGGGCCGCACATTCGCCACAGCATGCGAGACTGCGATTAAGAGAGGCTCGATACTCGTATCCAAAATCACAAGTTTCCACGCATTCTTGAACAATCATGTTCTGCACAAGTCCGTTCGCATCTATCGAACACTCCTTCATCGCGCACATATCGCTTGGATTTGGATACCATTTCTCTCCAATCTGTATATGATGGAGACATTGAACAAGCAAACACTCAGACACGAAGTAAATATTGATTCACGAGATATTGTGGTAATAATATTATTTTTGAACAATGCATTGTCTTGCATTATATATGCTGTTCAATTATACTTATTGCGCAATTTTTTTTTAATTTAATTTACTAATTAAGCGATATAAACAAGGAAATTTGTTAACATTTAAATAAATAAGCGTAACTAGCTGACCTCGTAAATCTGGTCGGCATATTTGCACGCCTTCCGCTCGAAATTTGGACAACATTGATCATCGAGTTGAACTTGGTTCAATACGAAATCAAAAGCATCTGGATGATTGGAAATATTAAGGCACTCCTTCTTTAAACAATTTGAATTTAATATTCCATCTCTGAGCTCACAAGTGCACGTTTTACATTTGCCATCCTCCCATACCTCACCCACGTGTTTGGCAACTTGATTCGGTATGAAATTTAATTCATTATTTGAATCCATATTGTAAAGGCACAGGTCCGTTGGTGGTTCTATAATGAAAAGAAAAAAGAAGAAAAAAAAAAGGATGAAACAATTATTACATTATTGATGTAAATGAAAGATGGATGTAATTAATTGTTTACTTTAATAGATAAACGTCATTTTAAGAGGCACTTATATTGGGCATGATAATGGATAACTTATTTTATTGTTCAAATGTTAGCCTTGAAGCGGTAATAATATTGATAACTGAAAGATCGACTTACCGCATACAACTTCAGGACAGCATAGATTTACATTTGCTTTAATGATGGGAATATAATATTCCTGGCATGTTGGAGCTTGAGGACAAGTTTCCAGCTTGCAGACTTTAGTTGCTCTTGGACAACAACCAGATGTATTTGTTATCAATACATATCCTGGCTCTAAAGTTGCTTCGTCTTGCATTACTTCATTTGTTAATAATGGACATTGTTCTTCGGGTATACATTCTGCAAACAAAGCATGTAGTTTAGTATAAAATGTGGACTATAATGTAAACTTATCAATATAAAATTAAATAACCATAAGATGTTTAATCATCGAATAATTTGATCAAATTTTATATAAATAATATAAAATTTTGTGAAAAATTTAAGAATACAAAATCTAGGCTTTATCGACTTATTATTATCGATTTATTATTAAAATATTTGTCTCTAGGCGTGACTTAATTGATTTTATAAATAAATCACGTAATGTACTTACGACACATAAACTTTTGACAGCCATTCGAATCCACTGTAACTTTTAATACTTGACTAAATCCACATTCGGGCTGCTGCGTTTCAATACAAACTGATGTCGATGGCGTTGGATTCGAAACTACAGTAAGAAAATCATATTTTAATACTACACCAGGGCCTTTTCCCATATAACCTTCATTATTGTAAATTATGCAATTTCAACCAGAATATCAATTTTATGCACACTGCAAAATTATTCAAGGTACTTTATTGTCGGTATACATCGCTTGACATTATAAAAATTACTGCTCATACAAAGCTATTTTAAAATATTACGCATTCTAAAACGCATTGGTAGCTAGCTACTTGCCCTTGCTTAAAAGAACATTACAAGACGTACCACAGAGATATTTCGGGCAGCACTCGTCCTCGGTGCCAGGCACTAACACTGCATTTGAATTCTCATCGCAAATGGTGCCGAGTGCGGGGCAACTCGTCTCCTGGCACTTGACGACCCTCTTGTCGCACGAGCAGTGCGTGCACTTGTCTTTCTGCCACACGTCACCTTCGACATGGCCCTCCTCGTCGCAAATAAAGCAATCGCGTTTTGGTATGCAGGTGTCATTATGATAGAAGAAGTCCGATGGGCAAAAGCAGCCTTCGATGGCACTGGCCGTGCACTTGGTGGCGCTTTCCTTGTCTAGAGTCTCGCAACTTTCGGGGCAGCCGAGCTTGCACGCATTATACTCCAAATCTAGCATTCAATGGTCAGTTTAAGTTCGCTATATTTTACAAAGGCACGAATTCTATAAGATTCAAGGACTTTTATGAACAAGTAAAAAAAATTAATTAATGAATAAAAAAAAAAAAAAACTCAAATATTAAATAACGTAGGGACGAGTGCATTTACGACTTTATACACGAACAAATTCAAGATGAAAGAGTTAGAAAAAAGTGATTCGTCGATATCTCGTAGAATGTAAATCTATAAACTTGCAGGGAGATTAAGACAAATGACACAAATCACGTAACGGACTTTTAGAATTATTTTCACACACACACACACACACGCGCGCACACACACACGCACTCTCTCTCTCTCTCTCTCTCTCTCTCTCTCTCTCTCTCTCTTTTAATATCAATATTAGTTCAGGCACTTACGCGGTGAACATTCGTAAGGGCACAACTCCTTGGTACGCCAATCGATGCAAATACCGCCAAGAGAGCACATTCTTGCGTAGGACTCAAAGTCGTTGCAGGTGTTACCGTTCTGGCATACAGTGTCCTTACAAGCTAAGTAATAAGGAGCGGGATCGACGATACAGTGACAACGTGAAAATACCTCGTCGTTCATGAGCCTCTCGCAGTGATTGTCCGTCAAGGGACCTTCGGAACAGTTTTTCTTCGGTGTGTTAGTGCAATGCTCGTCGTTGAGGTTCAATACAGCGGGAAGTTCTTTGGCGAGCCAACTGTTGCCGAACTCCACCACGTCCTTTGTTATCTACGGTTTATTAAATTTCATTGACTATTAAAATGGCCGTAGCTGTTGAAACGATCGATTAATGGTCAATGCGTTTGATTTAATGTTCCAATTGTGTATTACTTAGTACAGCTTAAACGCGAGGAGGTACGTATCGCTTGCAAGCATACGGTATCTTCGCAGAACGAATATTCCTTTAAAATTTTAATTATCGTCAAATGAATTTGCTTACGCAGGAAATTAAATAAGTAAATAATGTTAAATTAAACGAGAACAATGTATATTTACAAATAAACTATTTCTTTTTCATGGAGTTTTCTGATATTACGTTAAAAGAACTTTTTAATAAATTAACCGTAACGTATGACAATGTTATTTACGTAATTATACCTCTCCATCTTGTTTCTTAAGATCATCGTCTTGGATGCCATTGCAATTGCCACAAATACCCTCCATAGACCCGCCAAACGTGTGAGATGGCAATCGAAGCATAAAAGCAAAATTGTGCTTATAACTGACAAGTTCTAATTGAATTGTGGGAATAACGAGTTTAATATCATTATTTCGAGTTACTTCGATATTTATCCAAATAGTTTTGTAGGGGAAAGCGATAATTGTAAGCTCATCGACGATGGCAATAAACTGTAAAAGTTATAAAATATTATATTATGTTATTCTTTCATTTTAATATCTCTTTTATAATAATTAAAAAAGCCCATGTCTTAGATCTCAAATTTTATTATAATACTGAATAATAATGAGCTTTAAGATTATTATAAAAGTTTATTTATAATACAATTCTACAATAACGATCGAGCACAGTTTTTTCTTTTATTAAATAGAAATTTATAATATACCTCGTTCGATTGCCTTTCTTTTCTTATTTCGACAATATGCTCTTGGTATAATATAATGATTGCCTCGGTACAAATACCTTCATCGCAAACACCATTACTGACTAGAATCTGTAAATGTATCCCAAATTCTATTAAAGTCTGCGAAACAGTCAATAATTTCTACAATATGCAAAATCTTTATTTTATAGCAATAAAATTTAGTAATTATTATGATATTGCTACTTTATTGGACTCGTAACAGTTTTAACGAAAAACCACGTAATATACCAGTAATAATTTCATAACAAGAATAATAATTGACAAGTGTATAAGAATAGTTTGACTTTAGTTTTAAAGTTACTTGTTGAAAAATTATAAAAAAAAAAACATGTAAAAAATGTGTAAAAACTTAATAAAAAATTAATAAACTACTATCGGTTAAAAAGCGTATAATTTTCTCACATTTCTCACAAATTATTGTTTTAAATAATATTCCATATACTTATTGACGTAAAAAATAAAACAAAAATGAAACAAAAAACGAAGGATTATTCATACCAATGTGTGTAAAATGTTGAGTTATTGAAAATCATCGATGTACTATTAATGTTCGTATATACTTAATATATGAATAAGTTGGTCCATTATAAAATGATATTACAGCATAATTGTAAATTTCAAAGATGGAATGACAATGCATCTTGGGCATGTTGTATAATTTAGACTATTATATTCGAATATATTATATTGTATTATAATAGTGGTTGTTTGAATTATAGCCGACCTCGTAAGAATATTTGCCGGCTGCTCCTTCGGTCACCGGTACAACGTGCCTTGACAGGACGTACGTACAATTGCCGTTGAAAAGCACGTCGCTCTTGTCGAAGGTGACGTGCCTGGAGTTGCCAAAGCCATCGCACACACAGTCCCGACACTCTGTGGGCGGCACGCAGTCCTCGCCGTTTCGTACGAGACCGTCCGGGCAGAAGCATCCGGGCACACAGAGACCTTCGGTCGCCGGGCACGGCTCAACTTCCCGCAAGTTTTCGCAGCTCATCTCGCATTTATTCCTAAAGTGATTAAATTCGAGGAGCTCAACGGGGGATCGAAGGAGCGCGCGACATCGGAGATAACGGTGCTGCGATTTATCTACCTGAAGCAGTCCTTGCGCACCAGCGGAGCCTCGCAGACGGCCGGGCACTCGTAAGCGGACCTCCAGCTGGACAAGTCGATGCTTCCGTCAGCAGCCAAACACTCCGAGACGAACGATGCGAGGGCCTTACACCGGCTTCCCGGCATTTAAGCAGGCACAAGTGCTCTCCAAGCAGCTCGATATGAACTTTTCCCGGTCGATGACTTTGTCACAAGCCCCGAAGCTCGCTTCCCTCACCAAAACGCACGTCCTCCAAGCCACCGCCTGAGACTCGCGCGGGCACACCTGTGTAGAAATTATTATTCACGAGTCTGTGTATTATGGGTCTGTGTATTAAAACAGTTTGGCTAAATACGTATCTGGCAAAACAGTTTTTTTTTTTTTTTTTTAGCGCAGCTTTTAGCGCATATTACATTTAATGATTTTTTATATTAAAGATTACATCTTTATTTTTAATGTATTTGTGTAGCTACCATAGCCTATTGCTTCCTTTGATATGTACGCGAAATGTATATAAAAACCTCATTAATTTATGAACGTGGGTTATAGTTTTTTCTATTGTCAATTAATGTGCTTGAACTTATAATAGAAAAATGAAGGGAAGTAATTTATTTTTTTGTAACTGACAACTTGGCTTTATCAATTTTCAAACTTACATTTACATTAAAAATTCTACGATAAATAGGAATCCTTTTAATTTCACAAATTTAATCTCATAGCTAATATTCATTCATGTGTATTTATATTGATTTAATTTAAGATTAAAATGTTTAAATATTACATTTAATACTGTTATTTTTTTTTGCGCTCAAATAAATTTCAATCACTATCATTGAGCACGTAGTGAATGAAACATTTTATATTCTGACATTTGTTGATACATATCATTTATTGCTAATATGTAAAGCGAATGATTACTTTTTACCAACCTCCAGCTTACACTCGGGACTGTCGAGAAGCTTCCAACTATCCCCGAATTCTTGTGTACTCTTAGCTAATCTTCCATTAGGCATTTGTTGATCATTTTCTACATTACCATCAAGGTATCCGCACAAGCCATCGACGTGTTGAGCCAATTCTTCGGAGACGCTAATTTTTAAACAATCGAACGAGTCCAGTAATACCCAGAAAGGATAAAGCCGCGACTCGAAACGAAGCGCCTCTCCCACGCGCGATAACTTCATCCAGTTACTCGTATCGCTTAGGCGCTTTACTTCACTCGAACTATACCTATTACCATCCACTTCGACGCACATGTCCGTGTGTAGTATAACAATGTGGTCGTCTATGCTGATCAATAAATTTGTCGTGCACGACTCGCTATCATCTTTACAGACTTTTTCCACTGAAATAAGATTTTTTTTTTTTTTCATCATCAAGAGCATTATTACATCGGTACTATTAGAGATCTACAATATCTGAATATATTGTTATATTGTTATAACGTTTTGTCTTAATTATTAATGAAAAAACAAAGCATAACATTATTTACAATATAACTGTAGCAGTGGTATAGATATTGTCAAGATTTTGAAATTATAATAGAATATTCCATTGAAGTAGGCATACTAAAGGAGTTTTTTTTTTTTTTTTTTTTTTTCTCATAGAAATAAAGGTAGAAACTATTGATCTCAAATGTTATTGATAAAATATAATTTCGAATAAAAGTATTATCTAATTTCTTTATCTGTAATAATAAGAATAAACGAATACCCTATTATTATAAAGAATAGTTTTTTTTTTCAACGATATTGATAAACTTACTGACAATGTACCATCGATTGGCATCTCGATCCCTTGCTAAAATATGATTACAAATATCATATTTGTACTTGAGATTATCGAAAGTAGCGAATGTTCTTCCAACGTTCTTGCAAACTCTTTCTTTGGCTGGAATTGGCACGCAAGTATTGTCACAGCCACTTGTTTTCCGATAACTCCTCGATTGATCATACATAGGTTGAAAGCCCTCAGGGCATTTAATTTGCTGACATTCCTCGTCCCCTTGTTCTCTATCGAGTGGTTTGCACAAAAGTTTAGGACAAAGCATATCATTAACATCTGTTTCACCGAAACGACTCTCGATCGAAGGCGGTGGTAATTTCGATCTAAAATGCGAAAAATAAGTAATTACTCCAAAGCCGCTGCATTACTTTCATTTAATGTGCAAATATTTAAATTTTGAAATGCCGATAATTCATAAGCTTGTAACGCGCGCTGGACAAAATATGTGTATCATGAAGCGGGACTTATTAAAAATTAGGCAATACTAGTTTATAATACCTTTGTAAATTGTAAATATATGAATATGTTTAGATAAATATTTATCAGTGTCGAATTAAATACATAAGCAATAAAAGACAATGACGATTAAACTTACTTCAGCTTTTCTCTATAAATGTTTTTCGTGTATTTTATAGATTCGGTATTTTGCATGGTGTAACTAAAGTTTGAATAAGAGTTGGTTAAATCAGAGCTTTGATCGGATTCGCTTGCCGTGACGAAGCCGGGCGGGCAAGCTGTCTGACATTTTATACCTTAAAACATATATATATATATATATCTATATATTTTAAATTAAATTGTACTTATAATTAAAAAATATCACTGGTCACTTATTACCAGAACTAATTACGAATACTGTCATTCTTCGTCAAGTATTATGAAATACTCAAAAATTTTATCTCGCCACATTTATTACATTCAAGAAAATATAATGAATCAATCATTAATTAGATCAAAACGATTGTAATAAAAATAAATTATACAATTAGTATTAATAAACACATAAACAATTACACTATCCAAATTAATTATGAGATATTTGAAAATTAGCGAAGGGCCAAGACGGGAAGAGTTTTTCCTTTATTTTTAACATTTTTTTTCGAGTAGGGTAATGGCGTGTACGGGGAAAAATGCTAATACTTTAATGACAGTTACTTATTATGCTCGTTAGAATTTATTTAAATAGATATTCAATAATAAATGTAATTGAATCTTTAATTTTTATAAAATGGTAATATTAACTCGCGGTAAAAATGCCATAGTAAAGAAAATTTGGAATATAAAATTGTAGAATAATCTAATGACCAACGTACTAATAGTTATGTGCTTCTCAATGGTGGTGTTGGTAATCTTGCGGCAGCCGGTCTCGTCGTCGGGGCAGTCCTGGACGCCGTCGCACCATCTGGCCTCGTCGATGCAGTCGTCGCTTGTCGGGCAAAGCAGCTGACCGTTCGGGCAGGGCTTGCAGACGCAGTTGCAGAGCTCGTTGAGGACCGACCGGGAGCCGGACTCGGGGCAAGGAGGACAGATCTTTGGCTGGCAGACGGAGTTACCGCCCAAGGCGCAAAGGCAGTGCTGGCAGTCCGTCGTCTCGTAGCTCGAGCCAACCGGGTACCTGCGCGATCCAGGTTTTCTACCTTGTATTCGTGTGCAATTGCGAAGACGAAAGACTTACGGTACATGTCCGACGATACAGGGACACTCTTGTTTGGTGATGCAGAATCTTCCATCCCACCATAATGATTGGTCGCATTTGCAATTTTGCGCCTCGTCAGCCATAACGCCGTTACAAACATTGCAGTCCGACTGTAGCGAAGGAGGAGGAGGAGTAGGAAGAGGAAGAGGAGGAGGACTAGGTTGCGGCTCAATAATTTCCTCTTTTGCTAAAATAATTAATTCATAAGTGTATTATTAATTCGATGTGATATTGTAAGCTGAAGTTAATTATAAAATTGCCGTCACTTGAAAAACGAGAACACGAGCGTTCGATTTAAAATTGCAAGCTCGTTGGATTGTATTTTGCACGAAAGAGATTTTGAATAATTATGAAATAGCTAATTGTAAAAAAGAAAAGCATTAATTACGATAAGGTTCGAAGCAGCCGATAATTTCCACTTTCAATCCAATGTGTCGATGCCACTTTGTCGGGAAAATTTTCAATAATCGTGCTCGCAGTGGTCTTTTGAAGTAATTCACTTTGCTGCTGTAATCGTCGACATTGCCAAGGTATTCTTTTTCAGCTCCTGTAACGTCGATCATAGGGTTCCACTTTTTGCCATCCGTGCTATATTGGACTTTATAAGCTGTTGTCCAAATGCCATTCCCGCCCTTAGTTTCGACGCCGGTGATATTTCGAGGTGTTAAAAAGTCAAATTGAACATATTGATCAGGACTATCTAATTGCGGACGCCAGATTTCGATCGACGAAAGTCGAAGATTTGGAATTTTGTTCTGAACCGACGACGATACTGACACTTGTTGGTCCGACATCATCTGATCGTCATAGCCCATTTTATCTTTGCAAACTGATGGTAGAAACAAAGTATATGGACTTTAGTTTTTCATAATTTTCATTAAAAAAAAAAAAAAAAAAAAAAAAACCTTTCACGAGATAGATGTGATGAAACATAAAACGTGATTTTATGTCTATTTCGTGTAATTCTTTAACGCGTTACATTTCACCATACAAATTGAATTAAACGATAATATTACCGATAAATAATCCTTTGAATTTATTGAACAATAAAATTAAATATATTTCAAAAAAAAAAAAACAAAAAAATTAATCGATGATTAATAATTACAGTGTTATTGAATCGTTATCATTTTTCCATAATAATTACAGGGTCTATCATTCACTTATTAATAAACGAAAATAATTATAATATAACTACAACAATAATACATTGTAAATTAATTATTTTTTCATTGGCTTGTTATTTAAAGAAAAATCAGGATTAAGTAATTTATTAACTTGCCTGGCTCGATAAATATTTCGGTAATTATAGTTGTTGTGATAATGGGCGCAGGTGTTATAGGGCGCGGTGTCGTCGATGTGAAAATTTCTACAGGCGTTATTGGTGTCTTTGACGATGTGAAAATTTGCACAGGTATTGTTGGTTCCTCCGACGACGTGAAAATCTCAGAATGTATAATGGGTGTTACCGGCGACGTGACAATCTCTGAATGTATAATGGGTGTTACCGGCGACGTGAAAATCTCTGAATGTGTTATCGGTGATTCCGATGATGCAAAAACCAGTGCAGGTGTTGTCGGGGTTGTCATTGCTCTCGATGACGTTGTCGTTATCCATGGTATGGCCGTCGTTGTCCACGGTATCGTTATGTTCTTTTTATCGCCACATCCTACGAGCTCGATTTGCATAGCTATGCCTTTGTGCCATGTCAAAGGATTGATTCTTAAGACTTTGGCCTCTACGGGTTGGTGAAAGATCTGGCTAACCGGTGTCGAACTATCAATTGGTCCTCTAAATATCTTCGGAATGGGATTATGACCCGGGGCTGTATAAAGGTAAACAAAAGCATTCTTTCGTCATCTCTTTAAAACCTTGACGATATTATTGACTGTTATCGAGAAATAAAGAACTTTTAATAATCCAATGGTGTAACAATTATTTTTGAAAAATATGTGACAGCCTATCGGGAAATTAATTGAAATGTAACAAATTAATAGGGGCCAAGTTTTCAAGTGCTACTGCATTTAGTCTGTATTTATATGATATCCAATTTTATATAAAATGGTGTTATTATTTATTTATTTATTTTTATTTATTATTATTATTATTTTTTTTTTTTAATGATCACTTCGAAAACTTGCACAATTAGAAACAAATTAAATTTGCTCGAAAATTAAATAAACAAGCTTATTTTGATGAAGTCGGTAAGGTTACCTGGTTCGTTAAGATATGAGAACAATTGGTCATCCTCGGAAAACAATATCTTATAGCTTGTTACGAACATGCCCTCGGCCACGTCGCCCTTAATGATGACGCCGTAAATGGGCTTCGGACTGATAAAACTCACTTCGATCCATTGTTGATCGTCGTTGACGGCAGGTCTCCAGCTACCAGATGACTCCAAGCGCTGAAGCTTCGCCGCATCAGGACTAAATGCGGGCGCGGCAAAACTACTCGCTGCAAATGTCACCTCTACGGGGAAGCTCTCAATGAGCCAAATGTAGCTTTCCTCGTTGCATTTCGGGGGTGGCGTCAGATCGTATGGGATTATGATAGTTTTCACTGAACTGTGTGTGCTGTTTTTAAAAGTGATTTGACAATTCTTTATAGATATTTGCAGCTTTACAATTCCAACGCTTATAATATAACGATCATCATGCACTACAATCTTTTATCCAAGACAATGTTTATTAAATCCTTAAATGTATTTCTATTATTGCCTTATTAACTATAATACTCAATAATTAGACCCATTAGTCCCAATATTTTACAAATTTAATAATTACATTAATATTGAGAATATTACTGAAAATTTTGCTTACAATTTTATAATAAATTCACCAGCGTTTCGATGGATTCTTTAAATCTTGTAAATAAATATTAAACTTCGTGATAAAATAAATTGCCCAAGTAATTTGCTACTATTTTTCATATTGAACAAAGTTTATTTTATTTACCGTTATTAACTTTCATTAAATGCTTATTGAATGTCGAGTAGTTGAAATTGATTGATGTCGTATAATTAACGTGTCAAGTGTCAAGTAAAGCCTTTAAATTTTAATAAATTCGATAAAAAATATCCTCTACGAATGAAGCGTAGTGTAAAAATTTTAAATAACAAGATGCTTACCGAGTAATATTGGTCGTAATAGTAGTATTTTGGTGAAATTCATCGCTTCCCGGCAGGTCATCCTTGCAATTACTATTATCGCAACTGTAGTAATTGTTGATACATTGGCAGGTCATACATTTGGATACTTTGATCGTAGCTCCGGGCGAGAGGGGAGCCCCTTCCTCGGATTTACAGAGGCAGTGCGAGCGATCGACGCAGGTTAATCGATCTCGCCAGTAGTAGTTGCTTGATTGGCACTCGACTCGCGTGTACGGAACACATCCTGGGATGCAGCCAACACCTTTGTTGCAGACGCCGTCTCTCGTTAAAATGTAGTTGTAGTACTGGCAGGTGCGGTTGCACTCGATCGCGCATTCCTTCCAGTATTCGCCCGGTTCGCACGTGACTAAAAAGAGCGCGCGATCATTGAATGTGAGCTGAGCCAGCGAGCAACCGGTATTTTCGAGGGAATGACTAAGTTTATTTAAATGTTAATATGATTATTTGTAAATACAAGTGGCATGTACTGCCTTCACTGAACATTCATTGAAAATAATGTAGAAAACAATATTTTTCGTAAAATTTTTCAACTTTGAGGGTCAAAAAATATATTATGATATTTAATTTACTGTATAAATTTGTGGCGGTTCTTATAGGTCTTATACGTAAGAAGTTTAATGCTTTGTCTGTAAAAAACAAATATTTAATTATGAAATTGAACAATTATCCAATATTACTTATTACGTATCCTTATCTTCCATATTTATCTTAAGTAACGATATTGTACGAATTCTAATCTGACTAAAACGTAAAATCAGCATTATCTGAGAATGCAATATATGAATACTATCGAGTTATTTTATAAAAGATAATGTCCCATATTTTGTTATATATATAAAATTTATTATTCATGTATTATAATACTTCTCTTATTTTATTCATTCAGGCATTATTTTTTTGGTTAATATTAACCAAACAGTAGTTAAAATCCATGCTATTGCGACCAAATCGCACTGCCATTTAAAATTACGTATCATACGTTCCAAGTCCTTGCAATGTAATTTGTTTATTAACCAACTCTTGCTATACAATTTATATGAATAACGAAAATTGGTTGTTTTCTCTTTAAATGAGACTTATCCATCAAACGGAAGATAAGCATCGTTCGGAGCAATCACCTTTCCGATCATCTTCATTGCGAACGTCTTGCGTATTATTCACAATGCTCGTGTTTATCTCAGTGCCCTGACATTCGGGTCTTGAAACAAGGACATTGGCCGGCCAGTCGCAGACTTGTAGCTTCACATTGAACATCATGTCGGGTCCGCAGGTCTTTCTCACCCACTCGTTGCCATTGAGACCCGGGCCGCACTGGAGGAACTCCTGGCAGTTGGTTGGCTCGATCCGGTAGGGCTCGTTAAGCTTGCACAGGTCGATCGGTCCCGTTGTCACTGGCTCCTCCTCGCATTGGCAAAGGACACTGATCTCAAAATCAGGACACGTCTGATTCAGCTCGATCGATGGCTCACACATCAAGCCGTTACTTACGCTGCACTCCACGTTCAGCCCAACCTTGGATTCGTAAATGTCCGACCAACTTTAGTATGGATATTGTGCGTAATTGATGAGGTCAAGTAATACTTTAATGGAGGAAATATTTTTCTAACTGCAATTTAATAACAGTTAACATATTTAAGACGTTTTTATGATTTAAGGATAGAAGCACTTAAAGAGCATCACATTTATTCACATTTATTATATTATATTACAATTCTATAAAATAAATAAGAAGAATGTTCTTAAAGAATATGTAGAAAAAATTTTTTGATATTTGAGTTTGTATTTGTTTTACTTTTTTTTTTTTTTTTCAAGATTGTTCGTATTGCTTCATATTCATATTCACGTTGCGGTAGTAGAGACTGCCATCGATATCCCTTTTGCTAAGGATTACCTCGTGTGAAATAATAATAACATCATTACGCATTATTTCCTATCGTTTAATACGCAAAAATCACGCTTATAAGAATTACGAGGTAGTGGCATGCGCAAGCCGAATCCCAATCTCAATCATATCAAACCGGAAATATTATACTTTCCGAAGTACTTATAATCAATTGATCGAAAACTAAAAGATAAATATGAACGCACCTCCTTATACGATATCTTCGTATGAGTAGTTTGGCATTTGATGTCAGCCATTTTGTCTTTCTGGCATGCCGGCGATCCTTCGTCGTTCAACATTTCAATGATAGTGGGCAATTCTTCGATTTCACTACGAATTCCTTGATCTTTTGGTATGTTCCTATTTAACCATTTTGTCCAGCCACTCGTACATTTCTTCGTTTGTTCGCTATAAATGCATCATAACAATAACATTCGTCAATTTAACGAGATAAAACCAATTGAGCGAGAGATACTTTTAGTAAAATTGCTCTCAAGAGCTCCTTTAATCTCTAATATACAACAACCTTATAGCATAAAATTTTCCATAATAAATGTAGTATTAATGTTTAATAAGATAAATAATTCATAAATCATTCGTTGATGACATTGACGCGTTGTTGTTATTATATGTCGATGATATTCAAGAATAATGAAAGTCCAGGTGAAATATTTTGAAATTTTTAAAGAAAATATTGTACGACGAGAATTATGTAATTCTTGTACAATTCTCATTAATTGATAATAAAAAGTGAGTGGAGAGAGTGAGAGAGAGAGAGACAGAGAGAGAGAGAGAGAGAGAGAGAGAGAGAGAGAGAGAGAGAGAGAGGGAGAGCATCGTGAATAGGTTCCGAGTAGATGCTAATACAAGAGTCGAGCGGGCACATCCGAACTTACTTCATCTCGAGAGTATCCGTTATGGAAACGATACTGGGAGTCGTGGTTATGGTAACGGGGGCGCAAGGTTCTCCGTTACAGACGAGCTTGGCCCTGCTGCAGAAGCATGAGTGGCAATCGTCTCCCTTCACTCTGTCGCCCTCGAAGAAGTCGACCCCGTCGATGGTGGCACAGGGTGTCTTGCACTGGAGCCGGGGCAAACACTCTCCGTAGGAGCCATTTCGGTAGACTTGGCCGTCGGGGCAGGACTCGGGCAGGCAGCCCTCGATGCACGTGTCCTGCTTGCAAAAGTGCAACGAATCCTCGCGAGTGGCCAGGTTTTCGCAAGTTTCTCTTGGGCAAGTCGAGAGGCAGGGCGAGTACGATGAGCAGGACTGGTCGCATTGCATCGGGCAAAGCTTCTGACTACGCCACTGAAAACCGGCCATTGAAAAGTTGTTATAAATATTTTCAATAAAATTCAAAAGCAATTAGTCTTAGAGTTATATTTTCGACTTATATTTATATAGTATTGGCAGCAAATAATCGAAAGGAGGTTGCGTGCGCGCAAACAAGAGAGAGAGAGAGAGAGAGAGAGAGAGAGAGAGAGAAATAAATATATATATATATATATATGTGTGCGTGCGTGTGCGTGTGCGTGTGCGTGCGCGTGTACGTGTGCGTGCGCGTGTACGTGTGTGCGTGTGCGTGCGCGTGTGCGTGTGCGTGCGCGTGTGCGTGTGTGCGTATACCTGAATGGGCACACCGCGTGCGTTGCATTCGTGGGCGTAGGCGGCGATGGCGGTGCAGAGACATTCGCAGTCTCCGCCATCGTCGCAGCCGCAGGTGTCGTAGATGCATCTCTCGATGTAGTCGTCGGGGGCGAGTTCGAGGTGACAGGGCTCGAACAACGTAGACTTGAGGACGTGACAGCGCTGGGTGGCCCAGAGTTTGCGTTCCGGGCGAAGGGCGCAGGTGTCGGCAGGGGCGTCCGCTGGCTCGGCGCACAACTCGTTCAACTTCCAGGAGTCACCGAAGAGCTTGGCCGAGGCCTCGGAGACGCCACCCGCGGGCGTTTTGAAGTCGTCAGCGGCATTGTCGTTGAAGTCGCCACAGAGACCGCGCGTGCGACCCTTCCAGTGCGGATCGAGGCGCAAGTACACGCGCGTACCCTCGTCCCACTGCACGACCAGGCCAAGGTCCGGCACGTCCAGGAATGCAAACAGGCCCGCGCGCCTCAGAACTATCCTCTCTGCGATTAGGCAACAAACGCTTTTTTACCTTTTTAACGCTTTTTGTGCGCAATTGTATTACTTAGTTTGACATGGTTTTTGGGCTGGTGAGAGAGAAAGAGGGAGAGAGAGAGAGAGAGAGAGAGAGAGAGAGAGAGATAAGTAAACCATTTATATTTCTTTTAGATCAATAGGTTCTCGTAAGAATTTTCAATTAATTTTTTATCCAATTTTTAATCAAAGTTTTCTTATCTAAAAAGAATGCATAAAAGTTATTTTTATAAAATGATAAAATTATAAAATTATATTGAAATGGTTGATTGAATAAGTTTTATATGAAAATAAGCGGCAATGTTTATTTAAAAACGACTTCAAAATTTCTACTCTTCACTATCTTTTTTCTCTATTCATTTTATTAAATGCCTTTCAAACTTTAATACAACATGCCAAGACAGAATAAAGCCGATAATGAAACAATGTATATTACAAAAAAAAAAAATTGTTCGTCGAAAACTTTATTTAATCCGCAATTATTTCAATTTATATTTCAAGCAATTACGTCTATGTTAGATGTAATGCATTCTTACCAAGACCTTTGAAAGTTTCGGCGGTCAAGGGTTTGCCGCGCGTCAGGGTTATGCTTTCCTGATTAGCTGCGTTAGTTTGTCCAATGATCAAAGTCAGCGATTTCGAGCAAGTAACTCCTGTCGTGCCACAGGCGACATTACGAATAGACACCTCAAAACACTCGTCGTCGCTTAGTTTCCCTTTTGCGAGGACGTAGTCACAGGTGCCTTGGAAGTCGAAAGATCGGTCGTCGAACGTCTTAAAGTGCGAATCTCCCCAGACGGAACATATGCCTTCGGAACAAAAGATCAACAACGACATGTCAAATAGATTTTGAAATATTTTAACATTCTCAATACATGGCTTCTCAAATGCTTTTCATACGCGCATGTGTCAATGAATGTCCATGTTATAATGAAAAAAAAAAAAAAAAAAAAAAAAAAAAAAATCAAAAATAAATCAAAATTAAAAACAAAAAAAAAACAAAAAAAAAAAAAATGTCCTTCGTAATATTAGGGCATACAAAATTAATAATATTAAGGATATCGCGACTAAGCAGTCACAAGTCTAAGGCATAATAAGCTCAGTACCCGGACACGTGATATCGGTACAGTTCCATTTGCCGGCGCTGCATCGACAGCTGTTGCAGTCCTCCTGCATGAGAGCACCTTCGCTGAAACTCCTACCACCATGGTAGCAAGGGCACTGGGACTCTTGGACGCACTCGCCGCTCGAGGCGTCGAGGACGTAGCCGGGCTTGCACACGCATCCGGGGCGACAGATCGCCGGACTCTGTTCCAAGGTCCGACGCATGTTCCGGCAGGTGCGTGGCTCCACGGGCTCGCAAGTCGTCACCTCTTGGTGCTTTATCGCGCTACACGTACTCTTCAGCTGGTCTATCGGAGGATACTTCCGAATGTCCTCGGTTGTTGCTGCATGGCAGTTCCATATGCCACCTGCCACATCGTTGATTCGTTTAATAATGGGGATATTTACCGGATAGGTTGGCCTATTTATGAGTATTATTAACGATACTATTTTGCACTCGGTTATCTTTGCTTAAATTTCCTTAATTTAAACTTTCAACAAACTGATGAGCATATCTTATAAAGGTTTTAAATATTTCATTTAATTTAATGCTTTAAGGATCGTACGATATTTTGCCATTCGCTAACGAAACGTATTAAGAAATCACCTGCGCAAGTGCAAAGTTCTTGGCTCTTGGTTCCTGGTCTTACTTCTCTGTAACCGGATAAAAACTCTAACCCGGCGTGGACACAAGGACACTGGCCAATGAGAATACATTCACCATTGGCATCCAGAGTATATCCTTTGGGACAATTACAGCCCTCTACACATTCCTCGTTGCATTTGCGATGGAAAGTTATATCAGCACAGGATCTAAGGAAATTTGCTTAAAGTTATTCTTCAATTACCATTTAACATTTATTTGTAATAATTATGCATTGGCTTGGCATTGTATTTTTATAGTTTTTACTAATTAATAATAATTAATTATTGAATAAAGATTTATTAATACAATAATTTATGGGCGCGCGCCCGCACAAACAAACAAACAAACAAACAAACAAACAAACAAAATGAAATTGTCGATGAGTTAACGATCATTTTATGCAGTAAAATTGAAATCTTATTTGAATAGAAGAGACGAGAGATAATCAAATTCAAGTTAACGATTGATCTTGCGACTAATTGCTCCATAATCAACCGATATTATGCTTGGCAGATTTTCTTATTTTTTTTTTTTTTTTTTACTTTTCATTTGATTATTAAAGCTGGCTAAGCTATTAAATTAACTTAAAAAGAAAAAAGAAAAAATAAAAGAAGGATACCTGGTGCAGCTGTTGCCGCACATCTGATATTCCTGATCACCGGGGCAGTGGATGCGGCACTCGACGATCTCATTGCGCCATGGAATTACCACACCGAGGGTCGCGCATTCCTTGGCGTAGGCGGACAGCGTCGGACATAGACACCTTTCGACGTTTGCCTCGCACGCGCACATATCGTAGAGGCAATCCTTGTAGAAGGGCTCAGGATCGACGTGCCAGTGACAATCTGCAACGCTCATCGTCAACATTTATTAAATACCCGAGGAACATTTTGATTTTACATGCGAAACTTCGTGCTATTTTATATATTACTATTATATGTCACGCGTTGAAATATCAAATGAAAATACATTTTTTTCAGACATTTGTTGGAATTTGAATGATCGGTAAATTGTATTGAATTTCATTAAATTGCCTCTTGATTAAGTTCCGAGTAACTTTAATGAAATTGTCGTACCTAGGAACAATTTTTTTTTTAAAGCAGAACAATAATTCTCAGCAGCGGCTCGTTTCTGGGGATTCAAGTCGCATGGATGATCGGATTCTTTTTTCACGTCGTCGCACTGCTCCTTTGTTTTCCATTTGTTGGCAAAGGCTGGCACGGTTTGCTCTACGTCTCCGTCTGGCGTTAAGAAATCATCTTTTTGATTTGATGTGAATGTTCCGCACAAGCCCTTTGTATTCCCTGGGGAAGCAACGAATATTCACTTAAGTTACGAATTGCGGATATTTCGAGAAATAAACAAAACAATAATAAACAAGTCAATTGTGCTCGAATTTTATCTTATATTTATTTGATAGATATACAAATTTATATATAGTTCAATGTAAATGGTGAGAAATCGTGAATAATATCGTTAAACGTACCTCGGAAGTCAGCTGGTGCATTGATGTACACTCGAGAGACCCCGTCCCACAGGATTTCTAGGCCGTTGGGTAGCTCGACGCGAATAAAAATACTACTGGCGATGCGAATACTCGCGCCACCTACGAGGCTCGGCAGCTTCGTTACATCCTCCCCGTTGACAAAAATTTGCCGATTCTGCTTTAACTTTATAGCCGTGTCGTTCAAACGAATAGTCACTTCCTTGGTGCACGAAGGATCGCCATCTTGGAACGTCGGAGTGAAACCCATTATCTACACAATTATTATTGTTAGAGGAAACCTGCTGATGGAGTATATCCTTATATGCCTACAAACATTTTTTTTTTTTTTTTTTTTTTTTTTTTTTTTTTTTTTTTTTTTTTTTTTTTTTTTTTTTTTTTTTTTTTTAATCCATGGCAATGCACGTATATTATTGGGGGAAAATGAGGGGATGAATTGCAGATTGAATTTTTCATTTAATATTTATAATGGACTATTTTTGTGGTTAATAGCTTAGCGTGACCCTCCATGGCGTTTTGTGACTTTCAACTCCTTCAAAGGCACAAAAAAAAATCCTCGTCCCGTGTAACAGCGAGGCAGGCGAGAGGAAGGGTAAAAGCCAAGGAAAGTACTAAGCGATATTAGTTGGACGCTCGAGCACCTGTGAAATGGCACTGGTGCAGACGGCGTTCTCGGCTTCGATGCAGTAGTCCTCGCCCTTAACGAGGTAGTACGTGCACTTGCCCATGAAGTCGTATCTCTTGCCGTCGAAGGTCGTGTAGTGAGGATCGCCGACGGCCGAGCATCTCGCGGCGCACTTAGCCTCGCTGCATATCCAGCGTCCGGACGTGCACACACACGTATTGCAGTCCTTGGGTACACTCGAACCCGGGGCGAAGGACTTGCCGCGTAGTCGGCAGGGACACTCCTCGGGAACGGCGCAACGACCTTCGTGGAGGACAGTCCCGGCCGGGCAGAAACAGCCCTCCTCGCAGTCTGTGGCGTCTGCGACGTCTACCTGCTCATGGTCCGCGTGGTCGGAGCCGCAGGACGGCTGGATCTTCGGACCGCAGTTCATGTAAATCTTGCCGTCACTGCACTCCAATGCTGTAATCGTATATTATTAAAGCGTTAATTAATGGGCTTACGGGGGCTTGGTCTCGATTAATTATTGGACACCGCTGTGTACCACGTGCATTAGTCAATAATCCGTTCTTAGGCGCATTGGCCGTCTGTAAGATTTTATCTTAGAGCGGCTAGACATTCGGCACGAGCTTTAATTAGACTTCATTCACGGACCGTTGATTGAGCATCGACTCATCAAATGGCAAAATTTATTAATACCGACGTATCTAATTAGCCCAATAAAGTTAATTGAACATCTGTAAAGCAAGTCGTTAGACTTTTGGAAAATCGAGCTTATTAGGCATCTGAGAATAGTTGTTACACGCAAAATTTTTAATCTAACGGTACACACTCGTATCTACTGTTGTCAAGTCTAGCCAGGCTGCCGCTTTAAATGCGCTTTAAAGCCGCTCCAAGGACATTTCAGTCAGGAGCTCCTCTTGGCGAGAAGTCGAAGAGAAGACTGAGCTCCCTGATTGCAAGCGCTGCCGCTAGAGGCACTACTGGAGAGCGGCAAGAGCGCTCGATGTAGAGATCCCGAAGTCGTAAGAGCTCCGATTGGAGATGCCACGAGAGTAGGCGTTGCTAAGTGGACACCATGTTCAGCGGAATGTATTTAAGGAAGATCATCACAAGATTTATTCAGTCTCGAACTCAAGCTGAAGTTCTTAAGGAGGAAGGAAGCTCCCTCAGCACAGTCGGCAGTCGAGTCTTTGTGCAACCGCATCGCAACTCAATGGCCATAGCCACCAATTTCAATTCAAGGTTTCTCAATGATCTTGTATCAGCGAGCATACTTCAAGGATCAAGGCCGATACAAAGGGTACACGCAAATCTTATACTAACAAGAGACGCTCGTGCCCCAAGAATACAAAGCAGTTGCAAATTCACCACCACGTGGCATTACTCGAAGAAGCGGTAAGAGCTTTACGACCTCTCCACGGAACTACAAGAGCTCAATTAATGTCATCATCAACAAAGAATCATTAGTGTAGTTGTAAAATAAACGAAAAACCAAGCACGGAAAGCAGACCTTTTTCTCCCACCATTCCATCCGATTGGGTCTTTGTCTAATTCTAAGCATTTTTGGCCCTTCGAGCCGGACTAGTGGAGATCATTGTATTCCTTCAGCATTCATACGACCACCGAACGTGCAACTGCACTCTCAGATCATACAGCATCGCAACACTGCAGTTTCTATTATACGTATACATACAGACGTAATTAAATCTCCGCAACACTGTAAGTACTCCACTGTTATTCTTCTCTAATACTACATAACGAATAAGAAAAATGCAAAATCACAAGAAGAATAAGCAAACAAGGGCAGGTACAAATCCTGCGGTGACTATCAATCAACAACGGAAACAACGCATAAACCTTAGCGCCATGAAAGAGCGATTATCCGCGATATACATATTGAAAGCTCAGGGCCAGTGGAGTCGCATTACAGCCATGAGGGAACTAACTCGAGGACTCCCGACGCCTCATTTAGAGACATCCAATGATAAGGTCCTATGCATTAGGGACCTGATTGACGAACTACACAAGACATTTATGAAGGAACATAACCATCTTGAGAAAATATGTCCGTCAGCATTATCAAATCATGATTACTTTTCGAAGGACGCGCAAGGAGAAGAAATCAAGTGTTACTCGCAAGCGAAAATAGCCATCGCCAGGCTATTTAACGAATTTGATAAATCAACATTAAAAACCACAAAGGATGAAGAGATATCGCCTACGATGGGACAAGCAAATGAAACGAGCTGCCTTCCTGATGTCCCAATTCCGAAATTTTCAGGCATTTTTTTAGCATGGCCTAGTTTCCGGGACTTATTTGAATCAATAATCCTGAAGAACCCAAAGCTCAGTGAAGTGCAAAAACTCTATTATCTCCGAATATCACTGGAAGGCTCAGCAGGCAATATCATTGAAAGTTTTCCATTTCAAAATGACTCTCTTGCGCTGGCATGGGAAAAGCTAACAAAACGATATGAGAAATCCCAAGAAATAATCCAATCTAATCTTAACGACTTTCTCTCTAACTCATCACCAGTGGAAGATGAGGCACAATTTATCGAAGACGTAATCAGTGATACAAATGACTTGCTAAAAGACTTACATCAGTTACATCTCAAAACTGATCTCTCGGATTGCATAATTGTTCTTCAGTTGGTTCAAAGACTCAGCCAGCATACACGAGACCAACGGGACAACTCAATCAGTGACTCAACCTCGTACCCCAAGTTCGAGAAACTCAAAGCGTTCCTGATGTCTCGAGTAATGACTGTGGAAAATAATAAACAATCCCCGAAACCTAGTCGTCCGGCTCTGTATCATGCGCAAAAAAAGAGGCCAATAAAGGCCCATCACTCGTCCGTGATGAAGACCGATGAGAAGGGCTCACAAGAAGTGCAAAAACGGAGCGCGACATGCAACTATTGCTATCAAGAACACTGGTTGACCGGATGCCCAATGTTCAAAGAAATGACCATATCAAAAAGAAGGGCTTTCGCGAGCAAACGGCACCTGTGTTACATCTGCCTCAGATGTCATCCAAAGCAACCATGCAAGAGCAAATATAATTGCATCAAGTGTAAAAGACGACACCATACCCTACTGCATGATGAGTCATATTCAAAAACAATCAAAATAAATCACAGCTCAACGTCAGCCTCCAAATGAGGAATACCATCATCGTTAACAACCCTGTTGGCCACTGCCCTGGCTAAAATGAGCTCAGCATCGACGAAATTACAAGCTCGTTTTCTAATCCATAGAGGCTCTGAAATTACGTTCGCAACAGAGAATCTGGTGAAGAAGCTCGACGTATCTCGTCAACGTTCCGTCATCATCCTCCATGGAATCCATGGAGGATCTGCAACAACTCAGGCTTAAGGTGCTGTATCACTCGCCCTCTCCACTCAAATCATTCAAACTTCAATCGGTCACAGTTCTAGCAAACATCCTCGAGTCATTGACAATAATGCTTGAAATAAATTACAAGAGCTCAATTCATATCATCGTCACCAAATAATCATTACTGTAGTTGTAAAATAAACGTAATATTAAAAAGAGCAATATAGAGCATAAACACATGTGTTAAATATTTAATTACTGCGATATCCCTTCCACTTGTCCGCACGTTTCTCCCACATAACTCCTAGAGTAGTTTAGTGTAAATTTTTTTTTCCTTTCTTTTTTTTTGTCTTTTATTTTAATTTTTTCTTTAGTGTAATTCTAAACATATTTATTTGAATCGAATGATCGAGTAGACTACGAATTTCATTGTCCATTTAATTGTTAAAGTAAAATGTATGTAATGTTGCGTCAATCTTCTGCGCAAAATAATAATAATAATAATAATAATAATAATAATAATAATAATAATAATAATAGTAGTAGTAGTAGTAGTAAGTAGTAGTAAAGTTAAAAATTTTGCCGAATATTTCGGCAAGCTTTCCTACGAGTTATGAAAAATAATGGGAGATTATGGGCTGTTGTCGATCAAGTGGAAACGTATTAAAACTTCAAAATACAGATTTGTTGTGTAATTAGTAGTCAAAAGTACTTACGGCAAACATTGGTATCTCGCCATCCGGATGCGGAAACGATTCCTTTGTGGGCACACTGGCGCACGTAAACGGCCATCGTTTCGCACGCACATTTCTCTCGCTCGCCATCTCCACAGAAGCAGTAGTCCCATTGACAAGTGGCCTCGAATTCCGCGGGATCGATGTGTTTGTCGCAACTTTTGTACCTCGAGTCAGATAACAGTTTCGAGCAAAATTCTTTCGCCCCTTGATTTTTCTCGTCGTTCGATGCGCAGGCGTGCTCGTAATTTGGCCGCTCCTCGCACTTTTCTAAAATTGAGTTTTAATAAAGGACTTGCTTTTAGGGGCAGCCCTTATTTAAATGTTCGATGCAGCTTTCCATCAATCGAGTCATGCAATAACTTCTATCCTCGTTAATAAGGTTTTATGATTCAATTATAAGCGTTTCGGTTTTTTATTCTACGGTCGGTATTTGTACAACTATTTATAAGCGACAGAAAATTTGTATGTTAAAATTCGTTTTTTATAAACTGCAATATTTTTAATTAAAGATACAGTAATGAAAATTATTAATCGGATCGTTGTGCGATATTTTGGGAAAAAAATAAAATAAAAATAATTTAGCTTGAAATTATGGTCGCAAAAATTTGATAATTTACAATTTTTCAACGACTATGGTGTTTGAAAATTGATACCATAAATCATCGAGGCTCCATGAAGCGTAATTGATGTTACGCTTTAACTAAGATGAGCATTGGCGAGTCAACTTAGAAATTCGTATTATAATGAAATAAGTAATGACAGGAGGAAGGTCGTACCTCCGATGTCATTGATCTTCCATTCGTTGGCCAGATGTTTAACTTTCATCGTCGGCCCCAGGTCGTCGTCGCGGTGGCCGTTGAGCGTACCGCAGAGACCGGCGGTTCTATTCCAGAGCGACTCGGCAACCTCGAGCTGAAGCATCGTCGCCCCGTCCCATCTGATTGTCAGGCCGACGAGGTCGAGGTGAGCGACGAGGGACTGTCCACCCGCGATCGGCTCCACGCGCAGGTGCGCCAGTTGCGTCGGTACCGAGAGCTTCTTGCCCCCACTACGGAACTCGGGCAGTCCGGTCTCGCCCACCGACAGCGTATACTCCTTACCCTGGATGTAGATGCAGACGTGGCGCGGACAATGGGAGGAGCCGCCGGAGTAGTTGCCGCCCTTGCAACCCGGGTCGTTTTGCACGCTCACCGTAAATAGTCCATCGCGCGTCTCCTTCAGCAGCGTATATGCGCAGACACTCTCTACGACCGGCAATCATTCGTTTTCCTTTATTACAACTGCCCCATCCGAGGAGATGTAAATCGATCTCTCACCCCCCCCCCTCATCCTCTTTTATCTTAACCGCGAGCTCATTGACTTTATCTCCCTTCCACCCATTTTTTTCTTCGCCTTTCAATGGTCAAAACGTTTTGCGCACTAAGCGATAAGCATGGACTTGCAATTGCAAATTTTAAGCTGCTTTTAGCGATTGGCTGGGCGAAGTTAATTAGCTCTACAAACAGTCGATATTAAAAAAAGCTCTTTATAGGCTATTAAGTAAAAAAAAATTTAAAAAAAAAAAAAAAAAAAAAAAAAAAAATAAAAATTCCGATATTGAATTCTTTTAAGGAGATTGGTAAGGCCATATATTGCCTTGTAAAAAAGTTTCTCTCTCCACACGAATTAACGAACTCTGATTTGATCTCTTATAAAAATGCTCGTGTATACAAGAAGAGCTTGACCGAAGCTTAACGAAGCACGGCATTGTCGAGCGATGACGACCTCGCGGTCGGGCCTTAAAATGCGTCCGTACGAAGACTTCGGCTAACGTTACCCCCTTACCGAAGCTGTAAATCAGGCCATCGAAGGTCTTGTAGTGAGTGCCGGCCCAGGTGAAGCAGGAGCCCGGCTCGGGTTTCCACTCGACATTGCTGTCAAGCTCGTGCCGAACGACGTTCTCGTTGTTAACGATAAGTGTGTCGACCATCTCCACGTCTCCGGCATCATTATGGTTCTTCGTATATGACTCGAAGCCACTGCCACCGCCACTGTTACTTTCGCCCCATGCGGCATCGTTGATGCCATTACCAAGGCCATTCCATCCAGCACCATCACTGCTACTGCTACTGCTACTGCTACTGCTACTGCTACTGCTACTGCTGCTACTACTGCTGCTACTGCTGCTGCTACTACTGCTGCTGCTGCTACTACTACTGCTACTCCCCCATGCAGCTCCACCACCGCCGTAATTACTGCTCCTGCTCGCACTGCTACTTCCATCGCCACTGCTACTAGCGCTGGCATCGGCGTAGCTGCCCGAGTATCCGCCCACCAGTAGGGAGTTTAACTTTGACGTCTCGTAGCCACTGCTGGCCTGCATGCTCCAGGTGTAATTGGAGACGCGCTCGTAAGCGCCCTGGTCGTTGCCGTATGAGTCGAGACAGCGCGGCACCGGCTGGGGCTCGTACACTCCAAACTCGTATCGACACACGTATCTCGGTGCCGGGGTGAACTCGAAGCTCAGACCCGCCGGGCAGCTCAGCTCGCAACCGTACGAATGCTCGTCGAGGCTGCCGCAGTGGTAGGCGCCGTTGAAGCCCAGCTTCGCGTCCCCGCACGCCTCCTCACCTGCGCTCGTTCCTTACTTTATTCCCGGCGGAGAAGTTCAATGGTGTCTCTCGACCCCATTAAATACAATATCTCTCTACTCTCTACTTTTAACGATTGAAATTATACTAACGATATTGGCACTGCGGTCCGCGAAATTCTTGGGGGCACTGGCAGGTGTCGAGAGATAGGCAGATCCCCTGATTTTGACAAGGCGGATCGCAGACGGCTAGAAAGCAAAGATCGATTAGCGAAAGTAACGTCAAATGAGATAATTAATGAGCGGGTGATTGTTTGTATACGTTGGCAGTTGGGAATGGAAACCCAGTCGTTTCTCGTTGGCTCCCAATTTCCGTGTTTGCATAGTAGATTGGCGACCGACGAGCCGTCGGGAAATACGAAATGGTTCAGGCAGCTTATCGTACATGCTCTGCAAAAATTCAGTTAAGAAAAGTATGCGCACATTAATGACGAATCGAGTAGATAAAATTCTTTACTTCGAGGTGCACTTTCTTTGAGCATTGGCAATTAGCGGTGGTAAATTCAAACAGGGTTTGTTTTCGAATTGGCACTGGGGTCCGGAAAAGTTTTCCGGGCAATTGCATTGATTGGGCCCGACGCAAATCCCATTGTTTTGACATTCGGGCAGACAAACGGCTACAAAATAATATACATTCGTTATACGTGCTAATCTGTGTCAATATAATTTGATTTATTAAACATATCAAGATCATTCTGCTTTCTCTTTTTATTCCCAAATATATCAATTAATGCCTATATCGAGCATTTATTGAGTGGAGTAACGATAGTTTGCGAAACTGGAGAACGAGAAATAACGAATCTATATTGAAAATAATACAAAAATAATACGAAAATAATACAAAAATAATACAAAAATAATACAAAAATAATACGAAAATAATACGAAAATAATACGAAAATTGTAATCATTATAGCGTTACAATTAATCATTCATTGCACATACGTATATAGTTATTTTTTATTATATGTAATTTCATAATTATTACAATTTACAGTCGCTCGATCTATCTCAAGATTAACGCCATTAATCACTCAATACGAGCTTATTTGTTATTTAGTTGCTAATGCATATGCAAATGATCAGATTCGTATAATCTTTTATTTTTAAACTATATTTACTGCTTAAATTAATTTGATGTTCTTTACACGATTTATTCTATTCCTTTACTTGAATTTCGTGAATATTAGAGGAGACAAAAAATACACTAGGTCGAGCTAATGGATATTTATGACGAAAAAAAAAAAAAAAAGAAAAAAAAAAAAATTAGTATTTAAAAATTCTTAATATAAAAATGAACATAAATTGACGTCTTAACTTACGTTCGCAGTGTGGAATAGAATCGTAATCAGCGCCCAAAACTCGCCACAAATCATTATGACATTCTATCGCGAGCTGCTCTTCTCCATTTGGAAATCGATACAGCTCATTACAATTTGCAAGACAATTACTGTAAGCATTATATTTAATGATAACATGCGCTTTTACATTGATATTACGATATGCATTGGTTTATATGTTCCGGCAAATAAAAAGTATTCATAAGCATTTGTATCGTTATATTTATATTAAATTACATTATACAGTAGATTTAAAACATTTGATCGTGCTAAATACTTAATGCCAATTAGCAATTAGCATTAATGGATCATTGTTTTATGACCATAGAACGCGAAAGCTTTAAAAGATGCTTAACGTAAATTCATCAACGATTACTAATTAACCACCTATCATTGCCATTACTATCGTTATTCTTTTCGGATTATGTTATTTATTATTTTCTGTCAATGTTGACTTTTGAATTCAGAATTTTAATCAAATAGTTAACAATAACAATAATACCTGCTTGATACACAGTTGATATAGCCATTGATTGGAGGATCAGGTGGTATCACACAAGCTTCGCCATTGGCAATCTCCTTACTTGTTAATCTTGATGATGTTTTATGCCTCCTATGCCTGAATTGAAGTAATTAAAATAAATGTCAATTTGAAATCTAAAATGTCTATGTTTCACAAAGTTTGTTTCACAATTGAAGAATCAATTGGTATTCTTATTTCTCTTAAAATTATTGAATTATAAAACTAATGTGCGCGCGCGCGCGCGCGTGCGTGCGTGCGTGTGTGTGTGTGTGTGTGTGTGGAGGGGGGGGGGTGATATAATACTAAACAAAGTGTATAATTCTATGGCAATAAATGTTATTGTTAACTGCATTAGAAGATTTAGTAAGGAAATGATTAAATATCTTACGTTTCCGATCTACGTTCCGAATGAAAATAGCCCTCAGAAACAACAATTTTATTGATAAAAATTATGCATATAAAAACGTGCGTAATAAGTAAGGTTCGCGACATAATAAAGTATATTCGTCTTTATAATTATAAAATTATAAATTAGGATTCCATTTTCTTCGTTAAAAGAGCTTATTGACTTTTTTGCATTCACTGGCGAAAAATCGACGGTGAATGTGAATTTATACGTCCGATTTTTTTGCGGGAAATACTGATAATAAATCTGGGTTATTTCATACTGATATATTTGACTTGTCCATGGAACTCGTACATAATTATTAGTTAGCAGAAAAAAATTGGAGCATGTGCAGGAGACGAGAAATCTCTATTCACCGCAAAACTTTTCGAGAGACGTTAATTAGTACGCAATCAACAGGATACGGAAATTACGATTTTGGAAACTGTTATAAGACGGGTTCGACAAACTATAATATATCCGTTACAACAGATAGATTATATTTTTGCTATTGTTTAAATTTTAGAATCGATAAAACTTCTATTACTTATGAAAATTAGAATTGTTTATTGAAATTATTAAATTCAATCTCTTTGTCTCGATTAAACTCTTCTTGGTTTATAATAAGTAAAAATTCGTTTAACCTGTTTAACGTGGAGATTGAAAAAAAATTTTTTTTTTAATAATTCATAGCTTATTAATATCACAGTTGCTAAGCTTAAGTAAATTAAATAAGAAATAAATTGTTAAAATTGTTTTCATCCGAGTCATGTTAAAAGTAACACTTTATGTTAATGGTAAAGTATATTGTCTTAAGATAATTAAAATATGTAAAAAAATATCATAGATATTATGATTAACGAAGATTATAAGAATTCTAATGAACCATCATTAACGATTAATGAAATATAAATATATTGTATTTAATTGACGTTCTATCACAAACTTTCTTTTAATGAAAAACAAAAAAAAAAACAAACAAAAAAACAACCCCTAGAAGATCTATTACATAAATTTATTGTAATAAAATTATAAAAATATGATCTTACAAATTTTTACCATGAAATTTGTGATTACGAAATTAAATTTGCATGAAATTTGTGATTACGAAATTAAATTTGCATGAAATTCATTAAATTGTTGGATTATATAATACAATTTCTGTAATTTCATGTGTAAAGCAATATTTTATATGATAAAAAAAATATACAAGAATTCTGAAAGTATAATTTTAACTATCGTTTTACAAAAAATCGAAACATATAATAAACATGATTATTGCACAACTGGCAAATAGATGCTTCGGTTAGAAATTAAATACCTTTTGTACAAATATTTTAGCATAAATGCTATTTAAATACATACAAAGATATTATATTATATTGAATTAGTTTTAAATTACGCTGTAAACATCCTTTAAGTAATAAAATTTCGAAATTCAGCAATTTGTGATATATATACTTGACAAATCTCTTCGATATATTTTGAAATACAGTATACTTTATTACTAGAGAATTATTACAGTTAATATTATAACAATAATTTTTATAGTTCTGAAATAATTTTAACAAACAATTCTAACGAACGTATTATACTAATATAGTCAATACAGCACTTATTAATCTTAGTATATTAACTATTAATATATATTTTTAATTTATACAAAAGCATAAGTTATTTATAATTTTACTATAATTACAGCTAGGTAATTCGGATGTATAAATTAAAACAATGAAATAAATATCACTTTATTCAAATTAAAGTAGTTAAGTAAATTATCGAATTTCTTGAAGTTTAGTTGAAATTATCTAAATGGCAAGCTATTATTTTATTTTATATTGTGCTCCAAATGTTTAACATAAAAATCTTGTTTCACTATATAAATTAAAAATGCAAGTTTGAGTATTTTGAATTATTAATACCCAATATAAATCAGAAATTACTATTTTTGCTCAACATACTCAAAACCTCTAGGAACTTGATAAGATAAATTTACTTCTAATAATTAAAGAATATAACCTTACAGTGAGGTTAATTTTTTTTTTTTTTTTTTTTTTTTTTTTTTTTTTTTATCATCAAGAACACAATGAATACAAAGAACTATTATCTCTTTGTAAAAAGTATGAATAATCTTAAAATAAGGAATGCTAAAAACGATATATATTTTTTGTAAAATTTTTTAATAATCAAAACATAACATTGGATAGAAATTTATACAAATAATAATTTATTTACTTTTCGTATATAAAAATAATCTAACAATTAGATAAAACTGTTCGCAGTACATATTATACTAATTTAACAATAATGGTTTCGATGTTTTTGTTTGTAATTCATAAATGTCCATGAATGATTTTATTGCTTTGGGCATTTTTCGAAATTTCATTGCTATGAAGTGCTCAGGCTCGGAGTATTTTTCTCGCCATATTTTGAAATATTCTTCGCTCGAAATTTCTTTTACAACAGTTAAATTAAATTCTTCGCGTAATGCTGATCTCCACACCTGAAGTTACGAAAACGTAAATTAAAACATACAATATAATATTTTTTATTGATTATACTTTAATGAAGTTTTTCATTTTCAAAAGTTAATTGAAATATTAATTGAAAGTTCAATTACCTCATTTTCTGGAATTGGTGTTGACGCTGGTCTATTTCCGTATATTCCATTCTCAAAAATACGTAATCTATATAATATATAACTTATCGTTCGCATTTGATCAACCTCCCTAATATTAAATGTAATTGTCTGGTTTGAACAGCATTCTAGTCCAGGTTGATAAAGGGCTTTAGTATAATAACTTCCAGGTCTGGCAAGTCCCCATTGCAACGTATTTAATGAAAATCCATGAAAAGTTGCCCTTTTCTCAGAATCCCTTGTATCCAATGGATGAATACCAAGAGACATAAGGTGCTTTCCTAAAATAATAACAATAATAATAACAAACTTGTTTGGATACTCTGTTAAAAATTAAACTCATCAGCTTTTCTTTATTAACCATTAAAAACAAAACATCCTTATTTTATTGACAATTTAATATTTCTATGCCTGTAATTATAAAAATAATTATTAATATGGAACCTTATAAATTTTTATGTATACTATACCTAAGTAATAATCTTCTTTTTTCCAATATTTTCCACCAGCAGCACATTTTTTAGAAGTATCAAATATTTTCATAAGTCTGCTTAATACTTCATAACTAAGTACGTATCCAGCTTGAGCTACGTTGTAAGGTAGACCCCAAAGGACGACAGCGTGCCCCAGGTAATATGGTTCTCTAAAATTAAGCGGAGCTATCATATAGCGCAAGTTCTCTGGAATCACGATAGTGTCGTCTTTAACAAAAATAGTCCAATGTAATAAAATTTCATTACGCCTGCTCCAAATGTAATTCATTACTTCGCAGAGTAACTGCCAGGAAGAGGTATATTTTATTCCTAAATTGATCACAGATAAATTAACGTCAATGAGGTGTTGCGAAAAAAATAGAAGATGATTGCAGTGCTTTCCCCAAGTATCTCTGATTGTAGATGCAAGTTTCAGTTTTTCCACGAATACAATACAAGCGATAGGAACTTTGTTCCTCAACCATTCTGATTCTAAAATGATCGTATCATTTTCTAATGGAAAGATAAAAGAAAATTCTATTTTTATATTTTAGATAGAAATAGAATAACTATATTTTTATTATATTTTATTTGTAAATGCAATATTAGTTCATTTGGAATTATACTTGAATTGAGCAAGACAAATAAACAAATCTTGATCTACTTTTTACTAATACAATAAGGTTCTTCATAATAGCATATAATTGAAAATAATTTAATAACTACTTACTATATTTTTCACGAGACTGTTTACCATAAATGGAAAAATCAAGGTCAACTTTTGAGATTAAAATATTTTGATTTTGACGCCATAGCTTATAATTTTCTGCATTTTGTGGCCAATGCTGAACAGCGGTCAATTTGCTTTTTGATAAATCGTTATAAAATCTAGGTGATGCAAAAATATAATCAATGCATTCGTATAAAAGCACAGTTATGAAACCAATTACAAATCCAACTATAAATACTAAGAATCGTTGGAAAAAGAATATTTTCATCTTATCGCCAGAATTAATTCATCGTCACTGAGCATAATGGTATATTTTTCTGCAAGAAAGAACCAATTATTGAAATTAATTGACCCAATTACAGTCCTTAATTAAAGTCATAAGAATTCCAGTTATTAATTGAAGAATAATAAATATTTCATATATTAATTACTTTAAAGTACTTACTAAGATTTGTAAAATAAATATTTCTTGAAAAATACAATATTGCAAATCGTACGTTAATTTACAAAGTGAAAAAATACAAAGGTATAGAAAATAAAATGAAATAATTAACATCACACCAAGCGTTTTAATCGTTATTATATTAATTAAAGTATTTTTATAATATTTTTAAAAATTGTATCGAGTAAATCATTCCTACTGTTAGAGCAGAGAAAATGTGCAGGATTTAATATACCTGTTGCATTTAACATTCTAAACTAATAATACAATTCTTATGATTTGTGAGTTAACTGATGACGAACGAATCGCTGTAACCATTGCCTAGATGATTATCTAAAAGAGATGTTTAAAATAATCTTTTACGGTTACCCATAAAAGATAAAGCAGTATGACTGCACCAACTTTCAATACATGGTAAAAGGCATAAACCTTTATAAAACTAATTAGTTGCTTACGTTCTAAAACCATTTTGTTTCCTAAGTCCTATAATTAAGGATATTCTAAAATATAGAATTTTACAATAATATTAAAAATAGAAGTTGGCCCTTAATATAGACTCGTTGTATTTTACGACAGATATTCAGAAGCTAATTTTACCGCGAATTTTAAAAAAACCTAAACCAATACGGTTATGCATTAATGACCCAATGCCAATATAATTTTCTATAATAATAGGATTTTCAAGCTTGTGACAATGTTCAGATAATAAATCACTGAGTGCTGAATGTAGAGCGCGTACATCGTATTTAGTTTTATTAGAATCTGGTCCTGAAATAAAGTTATTTCTATGTTTAATATCTATATTAAATAAAGAAAAGAATTTAAAAGGGTTAAATATTATTGTTATTTTTATTAGACAATATCAAAAGATATTAATATAATAATAGATTAAATAGATTAATAGAAGAAATGTATAAATCAATCATTAATCAAGTTTCATTGATGACAGTTCATATTAACAGTATTAAGTCATAAAAAAATACTTTAAATTATAATTCATACTTTAAATTTCCTTACAAATCATTTTCTTATATAAATAAATCTTTTAATTGCTTAACAATTATTAACAATAAGAAATATTATATATACCTGTGTGAAAATAAAGAGGATGACTTGTGAATGTACACCATGGTATATTTTTAGCAAAGGGATTCCACTTTTTATCCATAGACAATGGCTGACCTTTATTCCACATTAATCTCATACCAAACATATTTCTACTCCTACATGGATTCAATATTAATTTTTTATGACAAATTATAAAAAATATCTTTAATTTGCAAAATCAAAATCAAAATCAAAATCCAAGACAATTAAGAAATTTCTTAATTTCTAAAACGAAAAAACGAAAAAACGAAAAAACGAAAGAAACGAAAAAACGAAAAAACGAAAAAACGAAAAAACGAAACGCAAATTAAAACAATGAATATAAAAGCAAATATTAAATAATAAAAAATTCAAATACGATAACAAAAATATTTCTTTTCCAATCATTGAATGCTGAATAGTAAAAATCTAATAAAACTGAAAAATCATTTTTAATAGAGATAATGAAGAATGAATAATGATAATGAAACAACCAACATCTGAAATACGATAACAAGTAAAGGTACCTAGGTTCAAACTCAGTAGTGCCTGATAATGAAGTAAATGAAGACCATTCTTGATGTACAGCACTGTGAATAAGAGAAGAAACACCTTCTGCCAACCCATTTAAGCGGCTAAGCATAATAGTATTTAACAAAAAAAAAAAATGGTTATAATATTAACGACACAATGATGGTTAGTAGTACGTGAAATTCAAAGCTATTATGACAATCAGAAATATTTACGGTAATAATGATGTTGCTGGATAAATAAGTTCTCCCGCTATTAACGTATCAACTTCAGATAAACATACTCGATCATACTCTAAAATCTTCAATGATATCAAATCATATTTCACTGAATAAAGAACGGTTTTCGTTAACAGAATAAGTCTTTCCTTCTCTGTATCCCATAAACTTATTCTAAAAAACATATAAATATTTTTGGAATTAATTTGAAATATTTGTCATTTTATTATTAAAAAATTGAACAATTATAACTAATCTGTTTTTATAAGAAGCAGATGACCATCGCATTTACTCGTTTATCCATTTGCTTTAAATAACAAAAGTCTGTACCATTAAGTGGTGACAAGCCCATGTGTAATATAAGACAAAATTTTTAAATACCATTCTAATATTTTATAGACAATTTCACAATAAAAATATTAATTCAAATATTTTACTTTATTCTGTATTAAGTATACTTATTTTAAGGCTGTTTTAGACAGGAGTTTTTACTATTATAATGTTTAAATTAATCACAAAATGATTTATTATATTCATTGATATAAATTTGTTAATTTATTTAACAATATTCTGTATCACTCGATATCTAAAGTTTAATAACTATTTCTATTTACACATGCATCTAACATTTCTCTAGAAAATTACTTATTTTTATTAAGCTCGTGCTACTTTTAAAATAATAAAAGTTTATATACTCAGTCAAAAGCCATGTTCCAATTAATTCATCTTCCTCGCTACAACTGAGGAGATCTCTTTGGCAATCCGCAAGAGCTCTTTCTACGACTTCATTTCTAGAGGAAAAAAAGGTATGACAGTCAATTCGAGTATAGGGAATACTAACAACTTTAATCGCAGAAGCCCCTTTTGAAGTACTATCGATTGAATTTTTTTTATCTTTTAGATCTATATACAATGACAAAGAACAAGAAATTTGGAAAAACATGTTTAAAAACAATAATAATTTCTATTTTATATTTAAATCATGGAAACCTACTTTGTGAATTCAGAAATTCGTTGCTTTCGTGTTTAATTTCCAAAGTAACCCTGTCAAAATTCGGCCCTTCATCCTGCAAAAAGGTATCGTCCATTTTTTATAGGTTAGATGAAATAATTCTCTCTACTAAAATCTATAAATTTTCTCAAAATTTATTTAGTCTCCAATGATCAGCAGCCTATAATAATAATAAAATGCACGCATGAATTAATTCTTACTGAAGCTTGTGACTGTTAGTAACTAATAGTCGACACGGGCGTCAAGAACAATATGTTGATCGATCGGCTGCTATTTGACATTTGGTCATTTCTTCTTATAATGAACTTACGTTGTTGCACAAGCGCATTCGAAATATGCGTCTTAATTTTATATTTCCCGCGGTCAACAGATGTTAAAAAGTTTTTGTGAATTATAATACAGTCAGTGTTGACGCATTTATTGGAAAAACGTTTTAAAATCACCATTAGTGGTAATTTGACGATTTTACTTTTTTATAATTGTAACTACTTTTTGTTAAAACTAATTGTTAAGTTTATTGTCAAAAAAAAAAAAAAAAAAAAAAAAAAAAAAAAAAAAAAAATTATAAAAAAGAAAACCAAACATTCATTTCGCTTATGTATATCATTAAAAGTTTCCTTATATCATGTTATTTTATGCACATTAAAAAGTTATTTACTTATGGAATAATCTTATGATCGACAGATATTTTAAGTACACAAAAGTCGTTTATATTCGTTCAATATTCTTATCCTTTTTAATTTTTATATTAAAATTGTCCTTATTCAAATATCTTGTTCTTATTCATTTTTTAATTTTATAAATTTATAAAAATTTCGTAATTTTACCAAATAATATCTTTGTACATTAAATAAAAAGCTAGAACTTGCAAATTTCGAAGATAATTACAGTTTCGTAGCAAAATGAAAAATTAATCAATTCGAAAGCTCATAATCTTATATTCTTTTGTGTCAAACAGATTGTTATTCGCTTCAATTCTATTGTAGATACAATAATATAACGTTACATATGTGGTATATAATAACACATTATGGATATCGAACCCCAATCCTTATACGACAATTTAAGAAAAATAATAATTTAATAACTTAAATGAAATAATCGTATGTATACTTTAACATATAAAAATCTTTTTATTAAAAGGCATATTTAATTTATTGTACAACAAAAATATCAAATATATATTTATACACCATTGTATGTACACTTTAAATTATACAATGAAAATATGAAATAATAAATAACTATATCAGTAGAATATACACAATTTAAGTAACTTTGGTGTTGTAGCATAAGGACAATTGTTGAGGTATTGAAATTCAAATAGATAAAACATCTTATATTTATATTTTATACCAAGACCATTAAACTGACCTGTACAATATATACATTAATCCTATTTTATCGATCGTTTATACGGTTCAATAGTGCATACACTATTCGATGCATAACAAAAATGGCACTAAAAAATTCTTGTGACAAGTATTGCTTGATTGTAGCGTCAGTCTTGTAACAAATTGCTTAACGAACACACTAAATTAACTAAATTATCATCAACCTTTCTACTGAAATAGTCACTGTTTGTAAAACAGTATAACATATTCTTGAAAAACAAAAATGATTGTTTCCGAAAGCTATCGATAGTTATCGATGGGGCTATATTTATTTGTAAATTTGAATGTCATCGAGAATATTGTCAGAGGACATTAATGTTAAACGACGCTC